GGGGGCAACTGCCCCCCCCCCCCCCCCACTCGCTACGCCACTGGCTGTTTGTGACTTCGGGGTTGGTATTAATAAATATATCCCGATAGTGGTACGTACTCGTACTCATCCATGCAACGCTACCAGCTACCTCCTAAGGGAAGATACGATTCGGGTCTTTGCACTCGAAGGGACAAATGCTTATCACTGTAAAAAAAAAAGAATCTCTAGGCTAGATTTTTGACACTGTTCGACCGGTATCGTCAGGGGGTGTACGGCCGGCCTTGAGCATCAATAGCAATTAAAACCTGTTTCTGCGGTCAACCTAATACGCCAGGAATATTAGATAGAACTTGGAAGGACTTGGTTTCGAACTTGTAGACAGGCTCGGATTGCGGCAAAAAATGTATATTCCCAGTGAAATTTAAAAAAAAACCGGCGATCGAGTTTCTTAACGTCCTGTTTACCTCTAGATGGAAGAAAGCTTTTTAGTAACCTGTCGGGGTGTAAGACAATCTAAAGATATCCATATGTGGGAATAAGGCTTCTCTCATCAGGGACAATTTGGGCATCGTCATCTCTGTACATGCTGAACGTCGTCTGTTGGCTGCTTGGCCTATAGCTTGTTTCGAGTAGCTTTGTCGTGAGAAATTTTGAGCTAATCATTAGCAGACGATGGCATGTGCAGAGAGAGTTCAGCTGGAGTTGTCCTTGGAATTGTACTTCCAAGTTCTAATATTCCTGGCACGTTAGGTTGACCACAAAAACAGGATTTAATTGCTATTGATGCTTTAGGCCGGCCGTACACCCCTTGAAGATACCGGTCGAATAGCGTCAAAAATCTAACCTAGAGTTTCGCTTTCTTTCTCTTTATAGCCTTCTTCTGTCTGGAGCCCCCTAATCTGCCCGGCGCTTTACATTATCAGGATTCCTGTCGGAGGATTTCTGCGGTCGCTGGGCTGGCTGGTTAAGGGTTTATCCTTCTGTCCATGTACATCCATCACATTATATGCGACTTGGAAGGGGGCAATATGATCTCATTGCCCTTCCATTTAATTTCGAAAGTGTGCCAGATTCCTGGCTCTGAAACATCCTCTCTCTCTCTCTCTCTCTCTCTACAAATATACATGGTGTCCCAAAAAGTATGGAAACATTAAAAAAATTAATATCTCACTAAATTATGCCTCAAATAAAATGATGAAAACAGTAAAATGAAGTGCAATTAAAACATATTTCAACCTGTTATTCCAATTCCACATGGGCACTATTTGTGGCTCTGTAGACGTCCAAACGACGTTCAAGCTATTACCACAACTTACGCAGAGTGTCATGTATAACTGTCTGGATAGCTGCATCAATTCTGTTCTTCAGATCAGATTAAAGATTGCTTACTCAAGAAAAGTTGACAATGTCCTTGACATGGCCCCATAATAGTAAAAAATTCTAGAGGGATGGGTTCAGGCACAATTAAAGTCTAATTTTCTAAGATGTTGCAACTCCACATTTTAGCAAGCTAAGGCATGGAAAGGAAAAATAGATCTGTGGATTGGACAAAGCAGGTTCAATCCATGGCCACCAAGATCACCTGAACTAACCCTAGAGGACTTTTTCTTGTGGGCTATGTCAAGGACATCGCTTACTGGAGAAAAGTAGACAATCGATCAGGATCCAAAGAACAGAATCGTCCGAGCTGTCCTTATAGTTATGCTGAACACTGCAAAAGGTGTGGTAAGAGCTCGAACTCAGACATCTACAGAATCACAAATGGTGCCCATGTGGAATCGCAATAGCAGGTTGAAAAATGTTTTAGTTGCACTTCATTTTACTGTTTTAATCATTTTATTTGAGGCATAACTTAGAGCGATATTAATTTTTGCAATGTTTCCATACCTTTTGGGACACCCTGTATTTCACGAAGTTATGTTAGAGCGGCTTTTCTCATGAACCCAAGCTAATCGGAAATAATAAAAATTGCATAGGGGTGGATGTCACTCATGGTCATCTTCAGCTGCATCTGGAATTATGAGTTCAAAATGATGTCCTGGGACTTCGCGGAATGGTTTGTATTGAACCCTAAAGCACTGTCTCATCGTATTTATCCGAATCGCCTAGTCACACTGGATGAAGTAAGTGTTTGGAAGTTTACTATCATACATCTGGCTGTTGAGATTTAAAGATCGTCTGTTGTCTATTTTTCGAGATTATGGAGGTCAGCAGTCACCGTATCATGCCTTCATGCCTGCACATGAATTAAATGAGAAAAATTATGTTTTGGGAAAGTTATCGTATTTTAGAATTTTCGCTGATTGAACGATGAAGGACTACAATTTTTGTAAATCTCATTCTGCAAGATATCACTTTGGTGTCCTGTTCTTCGGTAGCCTGCAGGACGCTTTTAGTTTCGGGAATACGAACGAGCGCTGCCCGGAGAGCTAGAAAGATGTACACATAGGGGAGGAACAACGTGGTCCTAGTCGTAACTTCCGGTGTATAATTCACAAGTTCATGAAAATATTGAGGAAAAAAACATTGGCATAAATGTGAATAGAGAAGCAAACTGTCCTTTTTTTTGTCAACCCTTCAACATTGCCACTTTTGAGTAGAGAAGATGAATCTTGAACTTTGTTTAACTCGCCCCCTCTCCCTCCCTTCCCATGGATAATATGGTATTAAAAAAAAAATACATGCTGCCTTCATAGCTAAAGCATGCCTAGTGTCCCCAGTTCGAGGATTCACTACAGGGGCATTCCAAAGCAACGAACGCTACTGCTGAAGAAAATCGATAAGACTGTGTTGCTTCTTATGTGCTAATGAGCAGGAGGTGAAAGTTATTGATCACACAATGAAGGTGCATAACACTTTGGAAAAAAAAGCATGTGCAAAAAAAAGTAATAAATTATTGTGAGGCAGTAGTTATTTGACCATCATTTAATGCATTCCATGGATTCACTATCCTATGAGTCAGGTCCTGTCGTAACTTGCGCTTCACCTGGGGTTTATGCAACTTAAGGATGTAGAGGAAAGCAACGTGGCACTTTTTTTTCAATGGTATATTATTTCTCTTGACAATTGGAAAGGTAAATGCCAGAAAAAGAATTCAATGATGCCATCAAGGAATGAAAAATTGACTAGAAGAAAGGCACATTAACAGGTCATCATTGTCATGACTAGACAAAAAGCACCCATATTTTTGTGCAAGATTCAAATGCTGAATGCCTCAGGAAAAGAAGGGGAAGATCAGAGAGGACAGGAAGCAAATTTAAATCAGGAAAGCAAACTGAGTTTCTGTCACTCTTCTGTATCATCTTCCTCCTCCTCCTCAACATCTGCCTCTGACAGCAAGACATGTCCAGGGATCTCCTTTTCCACATAAGCAGTCCAATCAAACCATGCTGGTTTCTGTAGAATACATACAATTTTTTTATGTTGCTAAGTACATACCACAGTTTGGGTGTCAGAGAAGATGTCACTTAACTGATTTGATGAGTACTGGGAAGAGGGAAGCCAACTGGGGAAGACAGGTGGGTGGGAGCCTGCTACTTGGATTCTCACTCATCCTCAGTAAAGTTTTTCGGCTATATACAAGCCTGCTGCAATTTTCTGCAAAGAAGATGAAAAGTATATATGAAGGTATTTTGCATATATGAACAGCTCCCCAGTAGCCCAGTCCATTTATTAATAATACTTTATAAGGTACAGTTTCCCTTGCTATTGTTGAATGTCAATGCAAATAGAAAATGGTGCTTCAATAGGTTTTACTTCTTCATTCAGTTCCCACACCCATCAGCACACTTGACACCATTTTATCTGGTCTTGAGAACATTTGATAAACAATGCTTTTGGTTCATAAACATATGCTTTAAGATATCTATCAAACATAAAAATATTTCATTTTGATGTTCTAAGAGTTGAGGAATTAGTTCCTGGAGAAGTGTTAAAAGGCTTTTGGAGTGAAGTAATGGAGGCATGTAAAAAAATACAGGGTGGTGCAAAAGTCGCACACCATAGGGGAAATAACAGTCAATGTCTGAATCGCTTGCCATTACCTTGAAAACACTTCGATTCACTGCACACGTTTGAACATATCTTAACCCCACCCTCTCTTCTTTTGTTAATTTTGCAGCCATCACTTACCTGCAAAGAAATAAACAGGAATTAAGGTAGTGCAACAGTGAAATCTTCTATGGTGCATGACTTTTGTGCCACCCTGTACATCATTAGCCTTTGTCTTATTGGAAATTATTGAATGCTCCCCAGTTTAACCTTAATCAAATGGATTTAAATCTCCTGCATAAGTTCTGACAACCAGATATTTTCTATGAAGCTCATGAACATCCGCTAACTGAGCCTTAATATCTAAGCATTTTTCTACAAAAAGTTGAGGTATAGCAATTGCACCTTTAGGCCATGGAAGAATGCATTCTGTGTCACAGCAGTTGTGACATCCATCCAATAAAGGTTAGTAAGTCTTTGGAGAGTGAATAAAGCCATGCTTCCCAGTTAAGGGGTTAAAAGAGGAAAAAGAACATATGCACTAGTGAGGCCCTATTGAGCTGTTTTCACATTCAGGATTAACAATATCTTTGAATGACCATGGATGAAATGTGGTACTTCTGTCCTGCATAGCCATGAGACAGTGACAATACCAGCAGTCTAACCACCCAAATTCTCCTCCTCCTGGGTACCTCAACTCAACAGCAAAGAAAGTTCTGGATGCTATTTTCAGTTATTTCCATGGATCCCTTGTCACACATCCTTTCTTAGAAGAGGGAAATCAGTAGGGAGTAGTAAAAATACTCCTCTGGGATTACCAACTGTACCACCCATGAAACTGGAAACTTCATTCACCTGCAGGATTTTTCATCATACAGGACATAAGTGAGAAACTTTCTGATAGAAAGGGGGCATTGAGCTGCGAGTTCATGGACTTACTTCACATGATCTTGCTCCAGGTGACTTCTGGCACATATCCAAATGGAAGAAAACCTACATGGGAAACATGGCAATGGAAACAAGCATGCACTAGGATCAGCTATTGTTTTCCTAAAGATTCCTCACAGCAAAGGAACTTGGCAAGATCCTCCAAAATCACTCTGGAATCCACCTCTTCAAATTTTTTTTCATCTTGGCAAACAAGGCACTCTTATATAGATTGTTGCAAGCATGAGTTTTGTCATGCATTCTATTCCTTACTTGTTTGCTTTGCTCTTGAAAGGCTTCCTGGATCTTCAATTCTCAGTTTGGAGCAGAATTTGGCATCAGTTGTTGCATAAATGGGATTTAAGATTGAATCCAAGCTTCTTGTGAACAGCTGGTCTGATGACATAGAAACGCATATTTATCTTTGTTGTTTCTAAAGTAATATAGTTTTCAAATTGGAATTAGGCTTTTAATTTAACTAAGCTCATGCCTACCCACATAATCCCATATTTTTTCTTACTTTATTAAAGGGATGTTCATCAGAAAGTCATTCTCACTCATGCTCAGCATATTAGATTTCAACCTTGAATCATGCTCATGCAGTCTCCCAGTGATTGATTCACTGATCCTATTCTGAAGTCTCACAGCAATTTAAAGTCCCTTTTTGACTCCCAAATAACATTATTTCAAGAAAAGGACCAGTTTCACTGGAAAGGTGGAAAAGGAAAAATGTTTCACAGAGAGAGAAATTCATTCTTCATATTTCACAGGAACAGCATGGCTCAGAAAAAAGAGAGTACTTTTGTAATCAACAGTGACAGCTAGAAACCAAACCAATTGTCAATGGCATTAAGGATTGAAAAGGCACCTAAAGCAACCAAACTTGTCTTGCATCTTGCCAGGACATCAGAGAAGTGAACACATGCAGAAATGCCCCACTTGAACTCTGGAGCTTCTGCAACACTTTGTAAGTTATCACAGAGCATTCGATGTCTCACCATCAATGACAAAAAGATTTTCACAGTTGGGACCACTCATAACCAATGAAACAACTGCATATATGACCACAGAGGGTGCAGGCAAAAGCAAGATGCCAGAGGGATTCCTCCACAGACAGAATAAATTTTTAAGAAGACGGACAAAACTTTCAGCTTTTCAACCTGAACAAAACACAGGCCTTCTTTGTGGAACAAAGGTGCCAAGGCAGACAGAGCCTATTGGAACAATTCCAAGGGCAATGAAATCATACACTAGCAATATGGGGTCCCTTCATATCAACCAAATGTCACAAAGGAGTTTCTCATCCAATAGATCCTAGATTTAATTGAATCCAATCCTTTTTTACCACCCTGGATATAGGACTAGCCAAAGCTCTCATCAAAAAGCTGTTACCTCCAATTGACTTTTTCCCTCTAGGGAGACAAGGACTAAGCACAATGGGGAGCTAGAAAACAAGCTACACCTATGTCTGAATGGCATGCTGAAGCTAAATTTTTTGCTTTAGAAAATTTAAAGGCTATTTTAGAGAAGAGGCCTCTGAGGAGAGTGAAGAACAGCCAGGAAGGACCTGAGCTTGTTTGAACTTACGATCAGTTGGATGAAGATCTGTGGATGATGTCACATCATCACCTATTGATGATTCATTCATGTCCTCTTCATTCTGAAAAATATTTAAATCATCACACTATATCATATATATTGCTTACAAATATGGCTGAAAAAAGTTCCAAAGCCTCTTGATATTGGTAGCTTTGAGGAGTCTAACCTTCTTACTTTGCCTAAAATCTCTCTTCTTTTTTACTTACATAGAATCTGAAGATTTTTTTTATTAACCATGAGTTTCCCTCCTCTAATAGGGAATTCAGGGGCAATTCTTTACTTAGCAAAGATCTCATGATCATATATTTATTTGCCTTCTTGAACAATATGAAAATTATCCACTGAATTTGGAATCTTTCCAACAATGTTCATAACAAACTACTCTAGGATAGCAATAGCACAAATAAAAACATATCAGTCTTTCATGAAGCTCAGCCATTTCAGCTGTATGGAGTAGGAATGTAATCCAAATTGTATGTATCAATAATCCTATGTATGAAGTAAATTATAAGATAAGCAGCACTTGCTGGATTGAATATCCACAACCACATCTTACCACATCAGTTCCCATGTCCACATCATCTTCATCCTCACCATCCTCAGTATCCCTTGATGAAGAAAATTCTGAATAGTCTCTCAAGGCTTTAATATGCAACAATCAGGGGGAAACAGACTCACGGGCTTGGTGGGATGCCATGTACGTCCATGTAAGATTTTGTCAGGGCATCAAGTTGTTCAAGATTTAAATTGCTGAACTGGCCTTGCAATATCATTTTTGCAGCCTGAGACATGAAAAAGGAGAAAAATATAAAACCATACACATAGTACAGTAAAATGAGAAGAACATAATGAAAGGAGAGACACTACAAACCCAGACGAGGGTGAAGCTAGCTCCAGAGACTCGTAGCAAGTGACCAGGTGGAACATTGATGGTAAAGCAGAAATCCATGGATCCTTCCCCCAATCCATTACCTCTCAGAGAAGTATGAGCAGATGACAAAGAGTCAGTCACTCCCTGCTCATCATCCCCCACGTCTGCATTCTCTGAATGAACTCGTTTTGGAGAGGCATTCCGCCGAATGGTTTCCTCAATCAGGGCCTTAGCATGCCTGCTCAACAAGAATGGACATATTGCTCAACATGAGGCACAAAAGTGCTTAAGGTGATGGCTTTGTGTCTGCTGCACAGGGACCTACTCAATATTGGCCTCAGAAGCACCTGTGATCTGAACCATCCTCTCCTTGGTTCCAGGACTCACTAGGAAGGCATTGAAAATAAAATAAAACACTAATAGAGGCTGCAAGGCACAAATATTGGGTCAGGTGGTCTCTTCACCTCTTTGGAAGGATACAATTGTGTCACTCATCTGTTCTATCATGTGCACCCGTCTCCCTTTGATCCCCATAACTATTGAGGAATGAGGTATTTTCTGAGACCTTTACCATGGAATACATAAATGCACTATATATTAATATTTCTATATCACCATCTGACCTTTCCCAGAGTCTGAGTTCCGAATCACAATTTCATCCTTGAAGAAGTTCTTCCCTGGCAATTTTTGGGGTACTGGATACTTGCCAGATGCCTTAAGAACTTCTCCTGGCCTGAAGGAGAAATGAAGATGATTTGACTGAGAGGCAGGTAGTCCCAAAGGGCTTGCACTCATTCCTCCCTCTCGATCCCCCTTCAAATGAAATAATTTATACCAAAATGAGTGGCAATAAAATCAATAATCAGCAACCAATAAACAATAACATGCAAAAATAAATAATTGTGTCTTCTGAAAGCCATTACCTGGAATGCTGATGCATGACTTTGAGAACATAGAGAAATGTAAGGGGAGTACATACAGGATGTCAAATAATGGCTGCTCCCAAAATAAAAATACATTTCTCAAAACCTACAAAAGCTAGAAACAAATTTAAATGGCATAAGAAATGACTGCAGAAGATTATGGGATGATGTGCTCAATGTGGGTGCCCTCGTTTGCATTCATGTGACATAACCAAACAACAAAATTCTGGGCAACAGCTTTGAGTGCCTCTTGGGACATATTTTCAGTTTCACTCCAAATGGTATCCTGGAGCTCCTTGATGGTTTTCAGGTTGTCTACATGAACTTTTTCTTCAATGCAGGAAATAATTGCATGAGTTGGGGTCCTAAGTATAAGGAGGCCAGTCGATCCCCTTTCCAGATGCCTTGTTCCAATAAAGAGCAATAAGCCAATCATCAAAATGTTCACAGAGTTCCTCAGTGAACATTTTGACACCTCATGTGTGCAATGAGGCATCACATTGTTTGCCATGAATCAGGTTTCTTGCATGAGCCCCAATCCCTGTACAACCAGAACAAAATTCCATCCCTGTCAGTTAAAATTGCTGATCAATCTGCTTCAATGAGCCATTTCTCATTCCTTGCTCTTTGCAAAATGCTCTTCTCACTGTCTCTGGACTTTCTTGACTTAAATAGTATTATTGCACCATAAAAGCGCATTGTTCAATGTCACCATTTCTATTAAAATGTCAATATTTTTTTGAATTAATGCCCATGCATGAAAAAATCCCTTGCAGTTACTGAACATCCATGCAAAATGTGAAGCTCATATGCTGACATTCAATGAAGATATTAAAGATTCTTATGGGAGTGCCTATTATTTAACACCCTGTAGTTTTACTACTCTGATGTCATGAGTGGGATACATCTTTTTAGACTCCATCTTCAACCTCATTCTGGATCCCCATTCCAGATCATCATAGCAGTAATGAAGTACTCAAGTCCAAAACTTCAATTTCTTATTTAAGTTATTTTTCTTACCTTTGTACTCAGGACCTTCATGGTGTATTAGGATAACAGCATGCACTCCATGCCATTTGTTTCATTCCCATATTTAAGGTGGTCTGATTGTGACATTCAGAGCACCCAATGGCCAATACTTTGTCCAAAGATACCTCTCACCAAGTTGCAAATGTGGTTGTACTTTACTCATCTACTACTGGTAAATTTTGTTGTAAATTCTTAGAAACTATTCAAAATTCTTATTTAAATTTTCACTAATAACTTCCTTCTGGATGCTTCTTTAGGACAGTTAGTAGGACTCCAACCTGCCCTTTACATGGGGGCATGTGGCAAGTTTTCTCAGTGAAGCATTGTCCCATACCCTGGAAACTCCAACTTCCTGAATACATTGAGATTACTTAATTCATTCTTGGTATTACAGTTTTGAATTGTGGCCTGTATATTATCCCAAAAATGACCATATTATTATAAATGAAAGACCATATATACCACACATATGAAAGGGTTTTTCTGTAAGGGGTTTTCTTGTTCCAGAAGTAATCATTCTTTCTCAGGACTTTTGTTTACATGCAGGCAATTTGTCATCCAAACTCTTTTGACCTTGGGTACTTAACTTTCTTTGATATGGCTTTCTCTAAGGCTCCATTAATCCCTTCAATCATGCTGATACTATATAAGGCCTAATTGTAAAGCTGTGAAAGATTGCAGCTTTCATACCAAGGGAGAAAATGTAGAGTTCTCGATGTTGTTCCATTGGCCTGCACGTAGCTCCACCAGGCTCAACAAGGCAAGTCGACTGTTCACATCAATGTGCCCATCGAGACTTCCATCTCGAAGCATTCGGAAGCACTTATCCATTTGATCTGCTCATGTAAAAGATTTATTGTTTTTATCCAGATGACTGCAACAGCTCAAGTATGTCTAGCATGCTACAAGATATAGCTGCTGTCCAACAGGACATCCTTGCCCTAAGAATGACTCAAAATTGTGGGAGTGATTACAGTCCCTGCAAGCTCCATTGATTACTCACCATCTAATTGGTTCCCCCATAGATGCTCTGGGGTCTTGTCATATGATGCCATTTTCATTGAAGTGCAAGTAAGATTAGGCTCAAAAGGGAGACTGATGTTGATCTCATTCTGATGCCAATAAATATTCTTCAGTATCACTATTGCAACATAAAAAACCCCCAGGATAAACAGAAACATACCAAACACTAATATGTATGCCTTTTATCTGAGGTTTGAGAGAGAGGGGTTAGAGAGGAGAATGGAAACAGGGAAGAGCTTTCATCATCACAAGTGGGTCAATAAATTAGGGACAGCTTTTTAAATTCCCTTAACCCTTTGTGGTCCAACCTCATCCCCGGGATGAAATTGAGTCAAAGTTGTCACATTATGATAATAATTTTGGATGGAACAGTGCTATTCTTTTGCGTGTTTATAGGTGTTATTTTTACTTTATCAGATGGCTAGAAAGTACTCAACTGAAATAGAAATAATAAAACCTCATTCGAACCTATTTCAATAAAAAACAGTGTAAAAAATGGAACTTTTTGGCCTGTGAAACTTAAAAATAATAGGACTGCAAAGGGTTAATCTTTTGAAAAGGGCATGCATGTCTACATTACTATTTTTTTTTGTGAAAGCAGAGATGAAAGTATTTAATTATGTCCTATCAAAGAATCTGTTCTCTATGCTGATGAAGACTTCTGTTATGAAAATTTGTCATTTGTTCTCTGCAGTCTGCCAACAGAGAAAAAAAAAGAAAAAAAAGATGACAAATGGACAGTATCTAAGTGACATAATTTTTATTAGACCAGTCACAGCTCAAGCAAATAGATTTTCAGACTGGACATATTTATAAAATGCTTGTATCTCCTGAATTCTCTTGACAGGTCCAACCAGCCTTAGCAGAAACAAGGACAATAGACAAGAGTGCCCAATGTTAAAATTTCAAAGATATCCAGACACTTACTTGAGATAAAGGATACTGAAAAGTGGTCCCTAAATTTATTGGTCCACTGTGTAGGTATATTTTGAACAAACAGAGATCCTTCATTTCATGGATTTCACCATTGGTCTAAAATGCATTCACTCCAAAAGATTTTACATGTTTCAACTACAAATGAAGTTGAATAGTGCAAGCTCATTCATATTTTGAAAACACTCTTTCTTAGATTTCCTGTGAAATTTTCACTCTGTTCCAATGGCTTTTAGTAAAATTGAGGGACTTTTGAGTAGCAGCAGGTAATGTAATTTTTCAGGTAACAGTGACTCTCCCCATAACTGAACTGATCTGTTTTCACATTTTAGGATGCCTAGATTGGGCTTGTATTAAAAATAACTTTTCCAAAGCTTGAAGTAATGGTGCCATTTGGATATCATTTCATCTGAAAGGGGTTGGTCTATTTCAAGGAGATTTTATGTCGGCATACATTGCATGACAAGCCTCACTTTCAGTTGTGGAAAAATGTGGAAACATGTCAGTCCAAGAATAGAGAGACTCCCTGTTCACAAAATGCCATTACCTCCTGCTACTCAAAGTGCATCAATTTCACTAAATTTCAATACAACAGGAAGAAACTAGCATAACTGACCTAGTCAAAAATCAATAGACTTTAACTCTTTCATCTTTATTTGTGGGTGGAAAGTCTTTGGAGTGACCCATGTACAGGGAACGCAAGCATATATACTACCTTTGTATGAAGCATCTAGCTGTGTCCCACAACGAACAACATTCGCACAGAGCTGAGGCCAGGCAGAACTGATATCCTCTTCCCAAGCTCTTGTGGAAATGAGGCGACAAAGATGCTCAAGATCTTGCATTGCATCTGTAGGAGACATCAAGACCTTTAATGGATGCCTTAACTGATGAATGAGACTTGTAAGGACAATGCTTACCACAAAGAAGCTGCTTCCCAGCATCTCGGCCATTCTGATTCATGCTTATGTTCATGGAATTACTGCCTAGCTGCCACATAAAATATTGAGATTCCAATCTCAAGATTCACAACCTAAAATCAAAAGTGATGGTAGCAATCAAGAGGGTGGGCCAAAAATCCATTTACACTCAATTAACATTTAGTAAGCATGATAATGAACATTTATTAAACAAAAAAACAATTAAATCATATGTCCAGTGGATCTGTGTGTGCCCCATCATGTTCTAAGCAAAACTGAATTCTGCACCAGGTCCTATGGCATATTTTTATTAATCATCTTCTCAACTGAGCATAAAATTAAATGTAATGTAAAGGGACTTTTGGCACACCCTGTACTCATGGATTGTTTTCACAAAGTAACTCACACTCTCAGTAGTTCTGACTATTGTATAACCTAGCCCAGCTGTTCAGGAATACTGAATCAGACAATATAGGTATAGAAGGAAGAAAGTGTTAAGAGAATCCTTCTCCACTTCATTTCACTTTACTCTTATGCCCATGTTACTTTTACCTATTCCTTGCTTCTCACATAAGAAACAAGCAGTAGCCCAGTCCAGCATTGGGTCATATTGAATGGGAGTTGGGAATGCAGAGTATTTGCAGAGTGATCCATTAAACTTCATAGCTCCTGAAGGCATGTCACCCTACATTGTTGCTGGACCTACCACCCTCAGATAATGTCACAAAGTTGGGGAATCATACTCATGCACACATGAAGCCTAATTTCATATATGCTTTGCTAATGGTTGATCTCAAGTGATGGAGACAGAAACATGTAAATATATACAGACAGTCATAACCCAGACATGCCAGTTGCCTTTCTTCCCTTTGTTTTTTCAATGCACAAAGCTAAAAGCCTGACAGAATACAAACATTTCTTTAAATAAATGTAGTGACTCCATAAATGCTGATGGTTTACTCCAATGACAATCAGAAAGAGATTCATGTGACATGGCCAAGAACTTCAACCTCCAAGAAATGAGCCTGCATGATGACAGGTCTCCTTTTGACTGGATGAAGTCAAAAGCTTGATGGTTAAAATCCTTCCTGGTGTTGTATTTCCAATCAGGGTTGGTTTAGAAGGTTGGGTGGGGATATCATGAACCATGAAATAATATAAAAATTGAGACAAAAGCTGGGATAAATTTTTTCACTCTGCAGGAGTTGACCTCACAGCAGATTTAGTCACTGAGATAGACTGACTCTACACTCAAAGCCCTTCTGGGAAATTGATAATTGTTTTATTATCAATTTATACATTCTCTCAGAAGACCTCTTAGTATCACACTGAAATAAATTCATATCTGTCCATGATTGCCAACTATTGGAAAATTTTGCTAGACACCTTCAAAGATACATGTCCTTCCATGAGAAAAGGAAGAAAAGTGTATTACAACTGGAAGTGTCCCAGGCTCAAGACTTTTTGAGTGCCCCTCATACTACAAGGGAAATAATAGCAATGCACATTGAACATTTGATGGTTTATCACAGTCACAAGATTACAGATTTTCTGCTGATGTTTCACGCACTGTAAACAGGATTCCATCAATCAATACTAAAAGCTCAATTTCATCCTTCCTCCTGGAAATGAGTCAATTAAAAGAAGCCCTATACTTCTGGATAATGTAAAGACTGATTTCCTGGTCATGTGAATCAATAATTTGAGGTGCTGACTTTATTCCCTCACAACTATGTAACATGTCCAGACCAGATTACATGCAGGTTTAGGGAGGTGCACAGATGAAGATGAAATGGAATGGCAGCATTAGAAGAGAAAATTACTGTATTGGAGATAAATCAATATAAGGAGCCTTTCAGATCTCTTGGAATGGTATAAAGTCTAAGGAAGGACACCAAAAGGAAATGAGCTTGAACTAAAGGAAATTAAATTAATACTTAAGACTGCCAAAATTACCATGTGAGATATATTATTACTTCACTTCATAAAGTCATGAAAAGTGGAAGGGGAAAAAAATCAATAATCTTTTGCAACATGAACAGAATCCAAAAACTCCAAACTTGACTTTCACAAGAAAGAGCATCCAAAATTCATTTATCCTTGCTTAGAAGAAATCAATAAAGACAAAAAGGGAAAAGAAGATGGATTCAAATACCAAGCATACCAGTGACAAACTGAAGAGAAGCTTCAAAGTTTTGGAGGGGATATCTTTCAGAAGCAAGGTGAGGTGAAGCATGATCTTAGTCAGGATCATCAGAACTCTCATGAACATTACCATTATTTGAATCAGACGTGTTCATTAACCACTGAGCATCACCATTATCACTATCATCATCACCAGCATCTCCAGCACCATCCTCACCATCATCTACATGACGTGGATTGTTTCCTGGTCTATAATTATCTAGGACAACTAAGACAGCATCTAGAAGAGAATGGAGACTCCGTGTGAACTCTGCACCAGGAGGTCCTCCTTGGGCACCAGCATCATTTGGTTCCTGCCTATAAAGGTAAGTTTATTATTCAGCCTTCCCTCACAATTCAAGCACAAACTGGATTGCATAATTATTCATGGGGTCAAACCTTTGTTCCTCCCTGGCTGCATCGGGGAGGCTGGAGGATGGAAAAAGTGTGTGAAGAAGTGTTGAGAGGAAACTCATTTCTGGACGTTGCCTTCCAGGGCGAGAATATGAATAAATGGTATCAGCAGGTGGAAATGGATCATGGTAGTACATCACTGTCTGACCTCGTTCCTCACTTCCCTTAGCAAAACATTCATGCATGTGATAAGTAACTCAACAACATCAGTTGGACACTTCTCCATGATTTAAATGACATTGTCCTACTGCAGCAGAGACTTCAGGGAATCCTGACAGTGCTATGTGCCGGAGAATGTTCCGAGGCATTCCTTGATAGCGTCTTCTGTGATGCTCAGCAAACTCTTCCAATCTGGCTTTGAATGAAGCTCTCTCAGTGGAATTTAAGATCTCTACAGATGTAAGAACAAAATGTTCATCGTTGAAAAATGTCAAAAAAAGACCAAGACATCAAAGGATAGAGAGATAAACTTTCCCTCCAGATAATGACTTAATAAGGGAGGGGGGAAATTCTCAAAAAGAAAAAGTCAAACCTATGACAGAAGGGAACATTGAAGCAGTGACAAAACAAAGTCATCATAGGGACCAACTGAATAGATTGCTGGATTGCTGTACCCACTAAGGTGAACTGGATAGAGAAGCTTCCATGTAGAAGTTCAGATCATTGATGCAATCCACATCATGCAGTCATGGAGAAGCTCTGACACCTGCTCTACTGGTCACTCTGAGTTCTGCAGGTAATATCTTTTACCAGTCTGGATATTTCACCCTCAGTCTCATAACAAATAAGTTTTGATATTATTGGTGGCACCTTGATCCTTCCCCACAAAATTGGGGTGAAAATGATAGTTTTTTTGTATGATACAGACAAGTGAAGGGGGAAAAATGACAAATGCATGAGTACAGTTCAGTTAACTAAAAATACTTGGGGTCAGTTTAATGAATCAAGAAATTCACAAATAACAAAAGAAAAGCTTATCAGAACAAAAAATTCCTCAAGAACAAGTGATTAATACATAATTCCAAAAAAAACTGAGCAGTGGAAGTAGTGGATGGGATGATCCCTTCTATCTTTCCTTGATCACCCTATCAAAACTCCTATATGAGTCATCATGTAATGTATCTTAAATCAAGGAGGACTAAGAAACCTTCCAACCATTATGAAATTGTTATGATTGGGGTTCATTGAACTTTGAGCAATGAACAAGGAAAGAAAGGGCAATATCCACTCAAGTTTAGGAAGAGTGCTCAGTTTTTCTTGGAATGGTGTATTTTTCAACAAGACCACTGCAATTTTTTTGTAGGTACCATATTAAATCAAACAAACTTCAATAACCTTTACAAGCATTTTCAAGTCAACAGCTTCCACTTCCCTGCTGATTCCTACTTTAAGAACATTCATATTTAAAGGAATAGCTGCTTTTCACTGTTGACAGCATTTTTGTCATTGTCAGTTCAATTGTTCAAGTACAGTGAAAGCCTGATATAATGTGGCTCATTATACTGTGGATTCAGATATACTGCAGGTCAAGTCATGTCCCCCCCACCCCCCCCAAAAAAGTTAACTTCATGTTAAGTTCATATTGCTTGGTTTTACATAACTGAGGAGAGAGGTATAGGTTGATGCATTCTATTCTAAGACATGACCTTGCAAGGGCATCCCCCATGGAATATAGGAGCAACAATGGGCAACGCTGTGACCAATACAGAGGAAACACCCTTTCTTTTGCACTCTTGTGTCACAAGATAAAGCAACTACACTGTAGTTCTCTCATTGATGCCACAGTCCATTCATAGAAATCAGTTGGTCATTTTGCAACTATGTATCTTATAAGTTGGCTGTGTGGTCAGACTATTGGCACTTTAACCCTTTCACAGCTATGCAGAAAAATATATGTCATCCCCCCTGTGTACTAAATATTGGCACTGCTCACCTGAAAACAATACTTTACTTAAGAAAATGCCATATCATGATAATTATTGAAGAACAGCAGTTACATGCACAAATAGCAGTGAAACAACCTAGAAATGGGAAATGGTCTGAGCTTGAGAACATACCCACGTTACCACTACATAAGCCTGAATATGTACTCTGAACAACAACCAAAGGGTTAAACTGCACTACACTGTAAAGATGTTCAGCGACCTTCCAGAGTGCATTTTCCATTATAACACTGGTAGCCTATAACACAGGTCCCCCAATGTCCCCCAATGCCCATGTTATATTGGGCTTTCACTGTACTCACCTCTCTAATGAATATATTTTTTTATTTGGGTGAATGAAATCATTTTGAGATTTTTTCACTTCATTTGTCTACATCCTGTACACGTGAGATTTATTCAGAAACACAATGTCAAAAATACCCTAACTCTTTATACCAAAAAGGAAATTTTGAATTATTAATGACCTGTGCATAAGGAAACACTTTTTCCAAGTGTTACCTAACAAATGGAACACCCAGTGCAATGTCTGACAAGGTTCCTTTTGACTCTAGGTGTTCAGCAACTTATTACTCCACTAACCCAAGTTTTGAGAATCAGAAGGCTTTGATGGAAGTTCTAGATACAAAAAGCCAAGAGGCTTGCAGTTTTACCTCTCTTCTAGTTTGTCACTTCTAAAGGTTCATCCTGGCTTTAGCCCAAATTAAAGTAATCCTTTCAGTCCCGGTGGGACTCAGGAGTCCCGCATTTTCTTTGCATATGTTATAGGGCTACAAAGGAATGCATGACCTTGAGGCCAAGGTGGGATTCTGAGTCCCTGTTTATTCTCAGTTCACCTCAAAAATGGTGTCATATATATTTATTTCAGCTAAGGCACTTCTTTCTAAGCCAATTTTTTCTGTTTTAACAAGCTAGATAATGGAAAGTAACAGAAATACTGGGAAACATACAATGCAAAAAAATGATATGAGTAATATTTCAAACTAATTAAATAGCATTATTTTATTAATTTATTTAAATAATTGAAATAATTGAACTAAATATTTTATTTCACTTGAGGAAACCATTTTAAAAACACTTTTATGTTACATAAGCCTTGCTGAAGCTCAAAAAGTCAATGACATTTTTTCCATGCCTGGAAGATAATTCATTCACTCTAACCCATCCCTTTTTCATCAGTCTAGGTTTGTCTTAAATTGTGACCATATTTTAGGTGATAGTGAAAAGTTTTCACTGATATATCTATGCTTAATATTAAAATTTGAATGGATTCTGACCAGAATCTCTTTCACCTGCTATCTCAAGGGACTTCAATCGTCCTATCACCACAGACATGTTTTCTTCCAACCAACGAAGAACTTCAGGTAACTTCCAGATTTTGTAACTCCGAGCAACATATAACTTGATAAGTTTCATCAACCCATCACTGTGTCTGTGAAAAAAGAAAGTAACATGTAGCTGCAAGTAGGTGATCAATGCAAATGGTGTGCAGCACGTGATGAAACTCACTGCTGAGAGAAATGGGGATGTTGAGATGTGACTCTGTCAGACTGGATCCCACATTTATCCATGAGGAGGGAAACAAATGCAGGGAAACGTAGGATGGCTTCTTGCAAAGCTGTGTCTGCCTCATCTCTATTGAGATGGTATTGAGCCAAGGGTACTGAGAAGGCAAAGTTGGGGAGTTGTGACAAGTTACGAGAAGTTTCCCAAAGACCATTCATCTCCAGAAGGTATTCAAATTCCTTGCTCTGAATGGCAAGAGTGTCTATATATAGGAGGACAGCTAGTGGATCCTCATCTGGATCCAAACTCAGGAGGATCTTGGCATACTCAAGGCCTGTGCGAGGACACCCTCTTCCTGCCACATACTCAGACTGCTTAAACAGAGCTATGAACAAAGCCCTGCAAGACAAGCATAAAGTCATTTCAAGCTCTTGACATTGATACATGAATGAAAGCAAGTCTCAGTATGAAAACTGAAGTGCAAGTTAAACTATTGATGAAATCTCCCACTGAGGAGTGAGTGACCTTACCTGTTCTCAGGATATCGATATGAAAGACGACAAGTCCCAGATGCAATGCGAAATAGAGGATGAAAAGCAGATTCACAAAAAAAGAGAGCTCTTTCAATTAAGTCCACAGCTGTTCCATAATTCTCTGCAAAATGAAACATCTCAGAAAGCTGGAGGAGGGCATCAAGGTGATATGGGTGCTCTGCAACCAAATCCTACAAAGAGAGTAAAGTGCATCATCATTCCCCAAAGGGAATAGAAGAAAAGTGAACTCTCTCGCAGAACAATAGCATCCACCACATTACATTATTATTTATTCCCAGTATCAAATAGGCTCCTTGAAGAGCTGTAGTCCTGGTTCAACAAACATTCCAGTTCAATAAAGCATGGTCAAGTTAAAGTTCTGCTTAAGAACAGAGACTTGAATTTTGTAGGAGGAAAGGAAGACTTTAGGCTCCACCTCATACTTCAAGCGAAATAGAAAAACATTGAAGAATGAGGAATAGTGGTCTCCCATGAATCATGAAAACTGACTGAAAGCAAAAAACAAAATCATGACACAAAGCAAGCGTTCTTGAGCTTGCAGCAGAGAATGTACAAATTCAAGTGCCCAGAAATAGTTGAAGGACTGATGTGTGAAAGACAAAGCATAAACAGGCTGCAGGCACTCAATGGACTATGTGTATGCAACATGTTGGCTGCTGAAGAACTCAAAGTTGAGGGACAAAATGAAATCATTATCCATGCTTTGGAGGAGAGGGTTTTCCCCCTTTCAATGTATATATCTGATTGGAAAGAAAGTTCTCGGAATTTCTTGAATATCCAGTACAATTTTTTTCCAGAGCATGCTAGAATGTTCTGCGTGTGTTTATAAGTAGGTCGTGTCCTTCGGCATACAACCATATATTATTACAGCCCTGGTGCTCTCCAGCCATGAACCAGTCCTACCCTCTTACTAAGGAGCAAGTTCGCCTGCTTCTTCTTTATGACTTCCGAATCAAGAAGAAGGCAGCCAATTCCATCGCCGACATCAATACCGCGTTTGGCCCGGACACTGTGTCCAAGAGCACTGCCTATGATTGGTACAGTCGCTTCCAGAAAGGAAATGAAAGCCTGGAAGACCAGCCACGCACCGGTCGTCCTTCGGAGTTTGATAACTCTGCCTTGCAGGAGGCACTGGAGGCCAACAACCGGCAAACATCGCGAGAGCTTGCAGACTTGCTGGGTGTCTCCCATACAACTATCCTTCATCATCTGGCTGAGCTTGGCAAGAAGGCAAAGTTGGGGTGCTGGGTACCCCACAAGCTGGATGATCGGGACCGCCAGCGACGAGTAGACATGGCCATCTCCCTTCTGTCACGTTCGCGCCGAACGGATTGGCTAGACTCAGTGGTGACAGGCGACGAAAAGTGGACCTTCTATGCCAACATTCGACGAAAACGTCAGTGGGTGGACGCCGGAGCATCGGCCGAAAGAGAACCCCGTCAGGAGTTGCACCCCAAAAAGATTATGCTCTCGGTCTTCTGGGATTCGAAAGGCATCATCATGTTTGAGCTGTTGCCGCAAAACACCACCATCACTGCTGCCTACTACTGCCAGCAACTCGATCGGCTGCAGCAGAAACTGGCTGAAACACGCCCAGAAAGACAGAGAACCATCCTCCTCCACGACGATGCCCGGCCGCACACCGCTAGACAGACTCATCTAAAGTTACTGGACCTGTGCTGGGAGGTGCTGCCGCATCCGCCCTACAGCCCCGACCTTGCCCCGTCCGATTATCACCTTTTCGTTGCCCTGGACCGTCACATGGGTGGAAAGCAGTACGCCAACCAAGACGACCTGAAAACCGATTTGGCCAACTTTTTCGTAGCGCAGCCGCCAGAGTTCTATTGGAATGGCATCCATAGTTTGCATAAACGTTGGCGTGAAGTGATAGAGGCCAATGGTGATTACATTCATGATTGAGATGATTTTTTTTTTTTTTAAACTGGGTTGTAATAATTGTTCATGAAATTCTGAGAACTTTCTTTCCAATCAGATAGAATAGAGGGAAGATTTAAAATCTTTGTCATTCACACTAGGTTTAAATCTGCAAAGGACAGATTGAAATGCAGTGAATGTGACAATACCTTAATCTGATCTGGGTTGAGACTCTCAACAGCATCCAGAAAGGCAAACTGAATCTCTTGATACATCTTGCTGTGCTCATATTTGAAGTTTGACACATTGCCCTCTTTACTCAGCAGGACCATGGAGACACCTGAAATCATTAACAAAGATGACAAACAAAATAGAGTAAAGGTTACAGCATAGGTTCCACTATGCTTTCCCATTAATTCTATTAAAGCATGAGATAATCATCAAGATTATACAGAGGTAAAAATGAAAGTATACAGAAATGAATATCTGCAATGAGTTCAAAATGTAATGCAGGAGGAACAGCAAGTCAAAACAATACCAAAAGCATACATGTTAAAGCAACATAATTATTTGCATTCAGGAATATCTTACACATCAAAATGAGCAAAATGCAAAAGTAGATGATGAGGCCAGCTTCCCTGCTATTGTACTGTGAGCAATGTGATACCTTATGAGCCAGGGGAAGCCACCAGGCTCTGGACAGAAGTCAACTTTCAGAGATCGGACTTGGCTTGTTTTGCGTCAATTGGGAATGAATCCAATGGTTCTCAGATTTCTTTCAGATATTTGATAATTGTGTCAGGTGTGATCTACACGCTGTTTTTGAATGTCAGGTGTGATCCACACTGAACCCTGTGATCTATGAACAAGCAGATGTGAATACTATTGTCAAAAGTTAGCCAAGAATCTTTTGTTATTGATTTTAAATACAAATTCTATAAAAGTACAAAGTAAAAAACCTCACTGTACCATAGAAAAGGAAGCTCGAGTATTGCTGCAACAGACAGATTACTGTGTACATGTCCACACCTATCCATGTAAGTGAAGAATGCGTTGGACTTCCTTACAAACTGAAAATTTTGATTACCCCTTCATGTGCACCTAAATGCAACATATGAAGTTAAAGTACCCCCCACCTGGTACTGGGACCAAGCTAGTAAATTAGCTACACCAAATTCAGCTAAACTTGGAACACTTCGTTCTCCATAGAGGCAGGTTTTTTGAGCCACACCAGACACAAAAAACACAGCTTTAGCCATGTGCTCACAGTAAAAGGTGGAAGGGTTTCAATGACCCTGAAAAGGTGAAAGGCAAGGCAAAGGATGGGCAAACGACGAATCGGGGAGCGAGATCACACGCGATATGACATTGAGCAAGCTGTAGATACACAACTGCGTGTAGATCATACCTGACAAGATTACCAGATATTTGATATATTAATGGATATTTTCAAATTGTATGGGAAAATGCCTCCTTGGAATTTTTTTAAGAGGTCGGGCTTTCCTTCTAGTGGAAAATTCACTTATCGGAAAAATGCATAGCTTCTGCTTAGCAAGTAAAATGCTGGAAGCACAACAGCACAGCCAAAGGGGGGGAGGGGGGGGGGGTTCAGGGTGTCTGAACACCCCTCGCCTCCAAACCCCTGCTCATGACAACGAGGCTAAAAAGGAGCTAAGATGAAAGGTGACGACTCGGATAAAAGTAATTAATAACGTACAGGTTAACGAATTTCCAGTTCCACGTCTGCGCTGAATCTGGGCTGAATCCCGAAATTCCGTTAATCTTTAGCTTTGTTTCAGATATCGAATGTGCTTGTATCATTTATTGTTTAAATTCTGCTCTCACAATTTCATTAAATTTTTGTGTGCCATTTTCTATGTTCACGTGTTCGAAGTAGTTTCGCTTTTTTATTGTGAACATATCTCTTCTGATGATTTGATAACGCCTTCTTGCATTCGGAGACATTTGAAAGGCAGGTCATAAGAACTTTACTTTGGAAGCGCAAATAATTAAATCACAGTACTGTTTCGACAATAATAAATATAATCGTCAGTGCAACAAATACATTCAAATTCTCTTTAAAGAGACAAGGGGAAGTACTTATTGGGCGTCCCACTTTCGCGACACAGAAATCTGGTTACCTTAAGGTAAGCGCTCTTAAAAACCGCAAGTTTCGTCTCCTTGGAAATGTCAGATTTGGCAACCACAGTCCTGAAGAGTTCACGCAAAACAGTGGAAGCCCAAGAGATGCGGCAACCAATCTCATTTTCGTATCGCCCGCGACTCGAAAACCTGATTCCGCGGTACTTGACCTCCTCTATCTGTTCCAGTGTTAACAAGTTCCCCTAACAAATAAGGCGCACCCATTCAGGACTTCCAGAGAGGATCATAACCTGTGTTTTGGGGACGCTAAATTTCATTCCGGCCGCAATACATTCTGAATCGAACTGGTCGAGCACGCCCTGAAGCTCTTGTCGAGACCGGGCCCAAAAGACGCCATCATTGGCAAAGATAAGTATCTCGGCCTCGATGCCACCAATGCTGACACCCTCGAGGTCCAAGCTACGCCTACAGATCCTCTCCATGCACACGAGGAACATGAAAGGAGAGAACGCAACCTTGGCGGAATCTAACACGTACTGGGAAGGAGTCCTTCGCTCATCCCATTCACTCGAACGTAGCACTTCTATCACTATACATTATGAACGACCCGCAGTAGCCGACCGATAGCCCATACTCCTACAGTACTCCCCATAACTTCCATCCAACTACACGGTCGTAAACCTTTCTGTGATCCACGAAGCACATGTAAACCTCTTTGGAAAATTGCCAATGGTTCTCGCGGATTTGAAGAGTGAAGAGCTGGTCCGTACTGCTCCTCTCGGATGGCTTCTCCAACGACTGCACGAACTCTTTTCGAGTACCTTGGCATAGACCTTACCAGGTATGCTGAAGAGAGTGATTCCACAGTTGGTGCATTCCCTCGAGTCCCCCATGTTAATACCAGGAACCACCACACAGATCTGCCAATCCATTGGTGCTGTTTCCGATTCCCATGCGGTTCGACTTACATTATGCAACCCATCGATGCCCATTGCTTTCAGGGTCTCTGCCCGAATTTCACCCAAGCCAGGAAATTTCCCGTTCTTCAAGGATGTCATAGCTTGTTGAACTTCCTCCATGGTGAGATTATTCTCAGTGTAGATTGGCTCTGAGTAGGGTACATCCGAGTCCGCCGTGGAGCTCCTCCAATTGTTACACTTCCATGTATTTCCGTTTCGGCAGCCTAGACCTTCCCGTTTCTGTCTTTCACGACCCGCAAAATATGTTGTCTGCTTTGCTGGAGCCCTCGAATAGTTTGCCAGAACACCTTGTTAGAAGTGCAGAAGTCGTGATCTAGATCTTCGGCGAATTTATTCCCATTCCTCCCGTCTGGCTTCGACCACGGTTAAGTAGCATTTTTCGCGCCTCTCTGTGACACGCCACCGATGGATCCGACCTACTGGACATCATACGTCCTATAGGCTGATTATTACAGTGTTTTCACTTGAACACTCGAACAGGGGGGTTTTTGAGTGTCGAAGTCAGGTGAAAAAAGGTCTGACTCAAGCGAAAAACACGTTATGATTGTGAAATAAAAGTATTTCACATCTGAATTTTGCTTGCTGTCGTGAGAAGTGCCTTGGCAATTGATAGAGCAACGAAGAAAAGTTGCCATTTGAATGAAACTCAGAGGAATGGAATTGAACAGAAATTGCATCTATTATCATGAACACTCTGGAAAAATAAATAGGGAAGCCCTTTCTTTTCGCAGGCTGCAAAAATACCTTCCACCAACGTCAATGCATTTTTCCCCAATGGTAAAATGCAAACTTGAAGGCTCTCTTTAGATTTTGCATGAGAATAGCTGTAATTTCAACTTGAATCTGGTTCTCAAAGTTGCATCCAAATGGCAACTTTACTACTTACTTAGATGCTTCAATGTCAACCACCAAACCATTTCTCACAACAGTAAGAAAACTTTAGTTGTGAAATATTTCTTTTACCTTCAAAATCTTGAGTTCTTCCAATATGGAAAAGAAAAGCACGATGAAAATGTATTTTAAATTTCCCAAATATTACTTTGAAAATATGACTCTTCCTTATGTGAATTATGGGACACCCTGTATATGATTAACAGAATAAAAACAAGCAATCCTTCAATAATATGCTTGCATTACTCCATAAGTTCTTCACAATTACAAATAAAAGTGTGAACCTGAATTGCAAGGGTGGGATGTTGGATGGAAAAGGGCTATTTTGCACTTAACATGAAGTTAAGTCTTAACATGAATACAGTTGTGTGACCTAAGGGGTACAGTAAAAAAAGTGTTTTGCTACCATATGCATGTGAAACCTAATGACAAGGATGGGGTTGAAAGGTGGGTAAAAAAGTATTTATTAACCTATCCAAAGGCACCCCATGAAGCAATATGAATCAATTTACTACTTATGACAGCACTATTCATTCTGGAGTTGTGCTGCCCATTCCTTCTGATACTCTATCGATAACTTCTTATATTTCTTACCAGATTTTCTGATGAAAGGCCACCCTGGTTTGGCAGTGACCAACACAGTTTTAGGATGGTTGTGATGCTGGTTCCGGGAAACTCTCCTTCTGTCCCCCTTTTCCTTCCTATTAGAACACAGACAGCAAGCCTATCTCACTTTCTTCACATTGCCTGGCTACATGCATTATTTGCACTGAGACACTGGAATAGAAAAGCAAATCCCTTCACAAACTTTTCTCATGGTACCTTATTCGAAGAGATGAAGATTTTTCCCTTAGTAATTTCTGCATCTCTGCCTCTGAATCCAATTTCCTCAGGTCAATATAGAGGAGTGGTTTTTGGGCCACTGGTGAAGATGACTGCAGAACAGATTCAGCACCCATTTGCTGGTTGTGCAGCATGAAGGCTTGTAGACTTTCCACTGTCTCATCAATCTCATTTTCACCCTGTATGCAACATGGTAAATTGAAACTTTATCTATATATATCTAAATTATTATCATAATATTGTCATAATATTATTATCGTAATATTGTCACTACCTATATTTCTACTCTATTTTTGAGCTTTTAAGCAATTAGATATATACTGCTATGTGTAGGATTAATTCTTCTCTCCTACCCCTTAAGGCTTTTCTTAAGACTTCATTCAGGATCCAAAGCATGAAATGAGAACTTCATTATTACTTAGTTCTTTGTAGCCCAAGAGAAGAAACTACATGTGATGAGAAAGGAATTTACTTCTGCATCATTCTGTACAGTGTTGATTGGTCAAGAATGCCAAAAAATTATTTCCACCAAGTTGTGCCCCAATATGCAATTGACAAAGTCAAAGAGCAAGTATTAATGAAAAAGACTTTCATAATAATTCTCATGTGGATATAGCAGCAGGTAATAAAGTGTCTCCCTCAATGAACACTCTCAAATATGTATGACTTACAATGAAACAAACTTTTTTTTCCTGCTGTTTGTAAACATAGTTGCAATGCCACATCCTTCTTTATATTTTCTTCTCATCAAGTATTGCCCTATGCCTAAGACGAAATAAAGATGGATATGCAAATCAGAATTTGAATAGACCTGGTCTACCTCCCTCTGGAAATTCACAATGGCATCTGATTTGCATTGCTGATGCTTGTACAGTATCAGTACAATGTTCTATTTTTTATATTAGTCAAGATTTCTCTTATACCATTCTGCATGGAATGTCAACACACCATTTCGGAAGCTCCACTATTGGGGGCTGATGAAATTCCTTTTTTTGCTTTCTTCCTTGTCTTTTTGCGTGCTCCTGTTGAAATAGGCATCGGCCTACTTGCTTTCAAGGTGGATGGATTCTCACTTGTAGGAACAGGCCCATCATCATGGTCCTCTTCTTTCTCTCCATTCAGGCTATGTAACTATCAACAACATTTAACTTGTTTATGCTTGCACCACCTAGGCATATACAAAGCCTACAAAGATTTCCAATTCTAGGATAAATATGTGTCAGTGGAAATGAAACTAACCAGTTCAAAAGGATTATTTTTCATGGCATCTCCATAAACTTCTTCCTCACTCTCCGAGTGAGTCAATACTGGAGCATCCGACACTTGAAAATCCCCTCTCAGTTTTCTCAGTGCACGAGACATTTTGAGTGACTGAGATATTAGGGTATGAAAGAATGGCTTCAGGGATCTGGTTTGTTAATGATGCAATGTTAAAATAAAAGCTTTGAATAATTTGAAAATTCTCCTTCATTTCTGAAATTATACCTGATAGTCACACTTTCTACTACATTTACTCCTTTCCCCCATTCTCAACTCAATATGTTGCATCTGTACAAGGGAGAGGATGGCCATCTAGGAGCGGTCAGTGGACATTAAAAGCAATTCTCTTTTGGCATTTATCTGGGAGTATGCACCTTCATTTTGGGGAAGGCACTTTCCTCAAGAGATATGTGAATAACCATTAGCCTTGATAACATCTGCAATCTATATCCATAGTAGGAATAGCAATTCCATGGATTCAAGCTGACTTGGGCTTGGTTCTAACTGGACCTACATACAGAACTTTGAGGACTATACTTAAATATGTAGGTGGAAGCCTATGCTCGGAAAATATGTATTTTCCTAGGATGTACTTCCATAGTATTCAGTAGCTATATTCCGAAACACAGCCGATACGAAAAAGCCTAACTTACTTCTTTGATATGGATATCCACTTTTAATGAAATCGAACAAATTCTGGATTCCAAAATCTCCCAAAAACCACCACTTGTCCGTCGTTTGGTATGAGAGTCCGAGACCCGTTCTACATGATAAATAGGTTTATCTCCAATTGAGCTTCATACTCTCCATCCCATGTAACTTCGTGTCTACGGTATTGTTGACATCAACATATCGCGCCATGTTGACAAGTGAAAGCTCTATGTCAAATATGGCGGATCTGCGGCTTATGTGTACCGCGATGATCATCTGTGTCCGCCGCGGTTTAAAGAGATAATTTATCATGAGAATTGTATTCCCATATATCATAAGTTTCGCATGGTACAGACTACCAGGATAAGAGAAAGCTTCATTATTTTAAGCTTAGGCCAAGGCGTATCAGTTCCCAACCATGATGCACAGCCACCTGAGCTCTTGGAATATGTCCTGGGTCTGGTTGCAATGCAATCCTTCCAACGTCGGACGTAACGAAAAGTCTGCTAAAGCATCTGTCTTATTGGCTCCATTTAATCTTAGTGTGACATTTGCAGCGAATCGGAAGTTATGCATGCTTTGGAGTGTTGTGATACCAGCTGGCTGAGGAAGTATTTAATCACATTCCTAAGTTTCAGCTTGAACTCTGGTGGTAAATGCCACACAGTGGCTTATCTTGCATCTCTTCTTTCTTGTTTTTTTTCCTTTTCATGAGAGTCCCTCATTAAATCTTCCCTCAAATTGGGTGGTTTCCTCTTCCATCAAAATTGAGTTCAGATCCACCAAATTTTTCTTTTTCAGTCTGACTTCCACAATGGAGTCCAACCCTTTCAATACCACCCTCATATTTTGGAATTGCAGAAGCCTTAATTTACCCTCATGTGGAGGTAGAGTTACTCAATCTTGTAAGTCAACCTGAACATGGGCCCTGAAAGACCTGGCTCAAAGCAGATAAACACTCTTTAAATCTCATCTCAGGTACATTCAATGTAGCCTTTTTTTACACAGTCTATTGGTAGAGATGCTGTTATTTATCCCTGAAATCAACACACCTATGCCGTGTATGACACCGTAATCCAGCTTACATCAGATAAAGACTTTATGGGTAACTGCTGCAAACATTTTCAATGAGACTACTTGGAAATCTTTAGCTGTTCTTTCTATTTACTGCTCTTTAAAAGGAAATTTGAAGGATGGTACTTGTTTGAAGCAGTTCTGTAAATATTGAAAAGGGGATACTGATTACAAGATCATAGGAAAGGGTTTTCCCATGGACCTCCTGTCAATGTCTAGCCTGAAATGGAAATTCTTTAATTTGATTGAATCCTTTGGCCTCCAATAATGTTGCAAAGAAGCTGCACATCCTGTCTCAGGCATAGTTATTGATGATATTCTCATCTTAAATTATATATAATCCTGTTATAGCTCTATCATCCCAACTGATGCATCACATTATACTGTCAAGAAATAGCTCAGTCTTCTCTCACCTGCCTTTATTCCTTATATTGTTGTACTGTGTATTCCCTGGATACAGTTGAATCACAGAGGGGCTCTTTCTTCATGTCCTCAACAATGTATTGAGAATTTGTTTCCCAATCAAGATAAAGCAAAGCAGGGTCACAACCTGAAAATCCTGAATAAGTGGTATTAGAAACATGAAGAACAAAGCACATGTACCATTTGCTCCTTTGAATGCAGACTATATATCCTGCCCTGAAATTGTGTTATAAATTATATTCAGCTATTTGAAACAGGCAATGAGAAAAGCTAAATATATTTTTTTTCCAGGAACTACCTAAGATTGCTTCCCCTCAGAACTAGCAGCACCTTGGCAAAAACTGAATCATCTCTTGGAAAAACATAGCTTCAACGCAAATCTTGACATAGTTTCACTCGAACCTGAGGCGACAAATCGGAATTTCCCGGAATGGATTTGCAGGCGAGCGGGCCGGGCCGGCTCCCCCCCCCCCTGAAATAAAAAAGTTTTGATTGGTCTTTCACTGATACGTTCTCCACGGATAAAAGGCTGGACGAGATAATTCATGAATGGACTCTGAATGTCTTTAGTCATGCATCTAACAGACATAAATACAAAGTCCAGAGAAGATGAACTACGGACGAAGTTCAAGAATTTCACCAAATGCGGTTTCATTATGTATTAGACCCTGACATCATCCTGCTACTCCAATCCCATTACTAATCACAGATGCGGAAAGACTAAGCGGGAGCCAGTTGCACTGCCACTGTTAATTCGACTTAAATGGAAAGTCAGACTTTGGGAGCCTGTCTTTAATTTTAGCCAAATGCACTGACCCTGACCCTGACCCTAACTAAGCATATGTCTGACTCACAAGCCTGTCTAATCTCAAGCCACCTCCAGGGTGTGTAAACAGGGTGAAGTCTGACATTTAGCAGTCATTAAATCATGGCTTCTAGTGAAGTTCTCCTGATGGCTGGCTTGACTTGCTCGATGAAATGGGGGGAAATTTTTATCACGAAAAGAATGATCCGGGAAATCTTTCATCCTTTCGAGTAGCTAGTGATTTCCAGCAGTACAAAGGGTACACATTTTCAAAGAATCAATATCTATGTTGACTGTTGCTGGTTGACTTCTTGAATGCACAGGATCACTGAGGTCGTTCTTTGACTTAAGTCTGCCTTGAATAGTGGCTTTTTTTTTGCTGAAGTATTTATTAGCTTTGATGGAGATGATGTGTGAGAGCACAAGTCAACTGAGTCACGCACAGTCCATAAGCTTAAAGCTATTTCTTTAAATATGGATCACCACATTTATTAACTTTCAAATGGAAATAAAATTTGGTTTCGCGAGAATTGGTTCAAACTTTAATTTTACAATTTCAAGTGGCAACCACGGCAAAAATTGAGAGATCATGTTCCGAATTACCACATGTAGCACAGGATTGACCCAGCTGGGGATAAAGCCAGCTTTACCTCCTGAGCGAAGGCATGCGAAACACCGTTATTGATTTTGCCTTGGGATGTGTTGCATTTGGCCTAAATATGTTCTGTCCGCGAATTCTTTCAGTGAGGTGTAGCAGCTCGTCGCTGGTTTCTTGTGCGTGAATGCTAGACTGGAATTAGACCGAGTCAGTGCAACTGAGGCTCAAGTCGAACTTTCCCAAGTAAAGCTTTTCGAGAAGTCAGACTTTTGCAACTCTGACTGAAGGAAATGCAGTATTCTGCCCGTTTTAGCGCGAGAAATCGCAACATAGCGTTGACTCTGCCAGCGGCAACCTCGGCCACGTGACGGTCTCATTCCAACTCCTATCCCCTTCCTCGCCTACTATGAATCGTTCAATTCAACTGGTCGTGAATGGTGGAGAGAAGTGAAAACAGGTACGTGGACCTATCAAAAAGTTCCTGGACCGGCCTTAGTAAAAGAAAACTATGACCAAAAGTTAGGCTTCTGTATGATCCCCATCAAAAGTGTTCCCTTAGCTTGCGATACTCTACTCCCCATGTTTGCAAAGAGCTTGGAACCCTGGTTGTAACCCATTCTTGGCAACCACCTTCAACGCGTTGGTCACAGTTGACTGGAGAATGCCTGTGTCATAGAAGCTGCGGCCTTTCCAAAGGAACTTCCCGGAAAACAGCGTGAAGTCACAAGTCCGCGAGGCCCGGTGAATAGAGGACGTGGGATGTCACCCCACCATTGGTTAAAAAATATGAAAAATTCATGATTCTGATTGATTTCTGACGGTCACTGTGGACAAGCTTAGAAAGGGCCTGGACGGTTTCCTCATTACCGCTTGTTGATGTTCTAATTCTCGTGTGTGGCACAATCGATTTCGCGGAGGGCCGGAATCATTTAAGATGACGAACACTGCACGGCCGTCAAAAAGCCATAATGAGGTGTGGGCGTTCCTGACGTGTCCGTAGGCGGGTGCTGTTACAATCTGACTCCAATTATGATGGTAGTACCGCTGAGATCCGTAATCAAATACGAGATGGTTCAACCACAGGAAAGAGTATATTAACAAGACAAAGATAACTGACCAGAGATAGAAGGGTTCACTCGGGTGACAGAGAAAAGGATATCCACACGTATATACACGGAACCACTGAATAGAATTGACTGACTGGGTCCTTAGTCTCCGGGGCGTCGATGATGTTCCTCCCCAGGTAGGGGCAGCCTCTCGGAGGTGGGAGGTGGAGGGGAGGGAAGGAGGTCACTCCTCCCCCTCGTATCTGCTGGCCACCCCCTGAGGTCCACAGAGGAAACTGTACAGGTCCTTCCTGAGCTTAGCTTCAGAGACCGCCGGAAGCTAATCGGTACCATGGCGTAACATGGATTTTAAAAAATTTTTCATTATTTTAACTGTACCGTAATAGAATTATCATCACTTAACTGACAACACGAACGTCATGACAGTAGTGGTCAGCCGGCGGTCCAAGAAATTGCCAGTTCTTGTCGACAAGGGAAAAAGGCTATCGTCTATCCCCCACCTTCCGAACTGTAGCCGATTATCATTTATTGCTTGATATTGGGATCATAGAGTCATATCGTGCGTCGAACTATTTGATCAAGTGTAAGTCTTGGAGGTGGTTCATTGTCATCGGGAAGAGGGAGATTAAAAGTTAAGGTGGCACCAGAATGAAGCTTCTATCTTCTTCAGGAGGTAAGTTATTCCTAAAACATTTCCATAGCTCTGGTTTCGGCTGGTGTCGGGAGCCAAAAGCTCACCCTCTGACTAATTTGAAGTGGTATGGCTCACCCACTTGTTCCCTTGAACAATCTAAATAAATTCTCACTATTTGACAATTTTCCAGGATTTATAGAGGCCCAGGATACAAAGAGCATGGGTACAGCCATGCTTACATCATTAGCAGTGTTTGCTCCTTAGTGAGAAAACAATTTCCAAATGTCCCAATTTTGAGACTGCAGTAAGTAATCGGTTAATTGATTCCAACTATTCCAGGTGCCAGAAAAATAATTAAATGGTGATGCATGGGGTGCCAAACTCCCTGTACATCTAAGGGATTAGACCCAGCTTGGATCACTACCTCGCCATCGTTCAGACTTTCAATAAAATAAATGCAGAATGCAAATCCCTTTGCTTCAAAATCATCCCCATTCTGGGATTATTCGTACTGCTACAAGCAGAAGATAAGTTGAAATACGAGTCAGTTCGAGATTTGACTACCCATTAGGGGCGGATGAGGAGGCTATGGGGGTCTGCCGATTATACTATTTATAGAGATTCGAGTTTTCCGAGAAATTCAGAGTTCTAAGGTTATAGCAGAACTTATTTTCGGTAAATTTGAGGTTGAATTTATTGGGACTCTACATCGTGAATTCATTCAATAAGTGTTAATAGGCACCGATGGAACGCGGAAGATCGGACGTGCGTGGCAGAGGTGGCCGTCCGGCGAGAACTTAAGGCAACTATGTTGCTGCAAGGAGAGGACGAATTGAAAGACGTGGTGAAGTTGGGAGTTGATTCTGCTTGTATCCGACCGGTGATCCCATTTTCTGACATGAAAGTTCTCCAAAGAACCCCGGGTTGTAATATTGCAGCAAACGTTATTTTCAACAAGTTAGGAATCAATTTAGCCAATTCTCTCCCCTGCTAATGATTGACACTGCAGTGATTTTCGATTGATTTCACCCCCTCTTCATTGGCGGAAGCGAGAAGTAATTCCCACCTGAGTCACTCGTGTAGCTATGATCAATTGTTTTGATAAAGAAGATATTGCTCAAGTTGTATGACATATGGCGGTCATTCAGAAGGGGGTAGGGTTGAATTCAATCGAAAGTCACTCTAACGTGAAAATTGCAGTGTAGGTGATTAATGGGTGACATTGGAACATGGAAAGTCGGACACGTGAGAGAGAATTGGGCGGCCGGCGAGAACTTAGGTTTGGCTTGATCGATCAAACTTGTAACTTCCTGATGATATATGAAATCTGCTTTACCAAAACCTTGATATTGAGTATTATTGAAGCGAAGGGCCTTCAGTTTGATTAGCCAATTTGAAGTCAATTAAAGATTTATTAATCATTTGATAACAGGTTCCTCAAATCTCCCTTATCTAGGCTGGGTGCGCGACCGACGCTTTCGTCGCTAGCTCGTTTCGTCGTTGCACTATTTCGTAGCAGACACAGATCGTTGCACTTGCACGGCGAGGCTCGTGCTTGCAGTCAAGGGTTTGGTGAATAATTACGAAGGAAAGAATAGGGTATCGAAGTTTTTGATGGCTGCCGGTTTCGGCGACGTATGTGTACTTCGACCAAAGATTCATGCGACTTCGTGTCCGCAGCGAACTGTCCACGACCATTTTGGCTGCGACGAAGGCGCCGGGAACCGGCTGGATGATGGGTTCTTGGAGTATGAGTATCCATTTAGTACCTGAAGACTGAATTGCGGATCGATTGGAACAGGATAAGATGATAAAATATTATCTATGATATCATGTCACGCCATTTAGAATATTGTGTTCTTTGCCATATTTAGGCAGGAAATTGTGCTGATTAAGACTTAATTAGGCAATTGATTGTTAAACTGCCCAGAATTCGTATACTAATTTTTTTTAAACAAGAACCCTAGTTTTACTCTTCTCTGTCTCTGCATTTGAATGCATCCTCAGAAGAAGAGCGTCAGGTATGAGAATCAGGTGGGTAATTGAGAAAAGGGAGAGACGCGAGACAGGTAAACAGTGATTGTGTTAACCTTGCTGGCGAATTTCCTTTTTTTCGAATTTCTTGCAAAGGCAGGTTTGTGACAAGAATCATGTACGATTTTAGATTCCATAGTCAAAAAGTATTATTCTCAAGAAAGATGATTTCATGTCCTCATGATCCTCGAGGCATCTGCACCGATCTCATGAGGGCTCATGAGACCGACTTCATGAAGCACTGACCTCATGAGACCATTGCCATTTACCTCATGGAGGCTTGTCCCTGCTTGAAAAACCTCATGAGATTTTCGTAATCCTGAGGAAGTTTCGAAACTTCACGAGCAACCTCTAAATCCTCGAGGAATTCAGCAGATTACGAGTTCATAATTTTTTTTCAACAGGGTATGATAGGCGGCTTTAAGGTGATACGCACACGTTGGGTTTTGGAAGATCACTAGCGATACGGTGGCAAAATGAAAAATTTTGCAATATGTCCTCAGGTGTGGACATTGTCAGTGAAAGGGCTAAGCTGTTACATTCTTGGGGATAAATGTGCATGGAATTAAAAATTTTATTTCCCCGTAAGGGAATTTTGTGTCGCAAAAATGGTTAGCAGCTCGAAAACAAGTATCGGTTTATTAGTATTTTATTCTAGGTTGAAAATATCTAAATATAACGGAAGCCTTTGGTTGACTGAAAGATGAAAGATGTGGAGGGGGGGGGAATGATCCTAACACTTTGACTGCCGTTCACACCATATGGCGTCTTCGGCGTGGCGAACTTCCGCAGCCGTACTACGTGAGGAGAGGTTGGGTGGGCATTTAAATCCCTGGCAGTCAATTGTTAACCTGGTGCTAACTAAGGTTGTCACAATGTCAGTTTTAAATACATCAATGCATCGACCCGAACCATCGATTTATCGGCAAAATATGTCATCTTATATACAGTAAACTGTGAGTAATGGGAAGAAAGAAGAATAGATATTGCTGCAAAAGTTCAATATTTTATCAATTGAACTATGGGTCTCCTATCCAATGTCTCCATGGAGACATTAAACTTGCTCATTGTCAAACCTAAGTCCTTTCCTTCTAAGAAAGTGACACGACAGCGACACCCATAAAAGAAGTTGGCATATTATTTAAATTTCGCACCTGCTATACGTGACCTTGGAAGTATTGTTTTAAATTTCGCGCTCTAGATGTGATCTTTAAAATTTTACAGTGGACTTTGCCAACAGCAGACAATTCTTTTCAAGTTTTCAAATCACCCATTACCCTCCGAACGTGTTTGATTCTTGGGTTTTAAATGACGGACTGGTTCCTTAAGTTTTATACAAATCTCTGCAGCAAGCAATGAGAAACATCCATGCTCAAGATATGTGTAGCGGTTAAGGGGTTAAGAGTCCTGAATTAAGCCCCATTGATTATGCATTAAGGAATATTTTAGAACAGCAGGCATGCTGAGTGCTGATCAAAGAAGTTGAAAATCTCAAGAAATGCATTCTTAAAACATGGGGTGCAAGCAAACATCTCGTTGACCACTGCAGAGCAGAACTCGAGGTTGGGAATGACAACAATTATTCGAGCATTGGTTTTGATGAATTAAGGCTACCTTATTATATAGTCAAAGATGATCTGTAGCTATTATAAAATCAATTCAAGCAAAATTATGTTCCTTTTTCTGGAAGTAAGAAAATGTTCAATGGTTAGACTTGTAGGGACACGGAGTACATGGGGACTGCTTGCGTTGGACAATTATTTTCTTTCAAACTGGGACCTCTGGCACGATAAGGGGTAGTTAGCATGGCTTCTTGAGTGCAACCAAGATGAATATATATGTCAGTCAGACACCTATACATTTTTGGATTGCAAGAGATCATCATGGCTGGCCCTGATAGTATTCAATACATTGTAGAGGAGGGGATCATGGACTGTTCAGTTTCTTATGAACAAGATTGCCGCTCAGTAAAAGTAAAGGTACCCTCTAAAAGGAAGCACGGCTTCATGCAGCTTATGCTTAACACCTAACTGGGTTTAATGCCCATTCTAGGTCTACATTAACCTGTTAGCAATCTGTGTGCCTTTTAGAACATGGTAGAGAAGAGATGCAGCAGAAGGCAAGTGATGATCAGCAATTCTGTCTTCGATGGAATGATTTCCCACGCAATTTGTGCAGTGGTTTTGATGCATTGCGGCAGGAAGAAGTATTTGTGGATGTGACTCTGTCCTGTGAAGGAAAGCACATCAAGGCTCATCGTATCGTTTTGTCATCATGCAGCCCATACTTCATGAATCTCCTTAAGGTACTTAACTAGCTGCAATCACATGCCTAGTCCATGCCTCAGGTGGTGACTAGATGTTAATATTTATACTCCTTTCTGAACTTTGATGATATGAATGAGAAATATCCTGTCTTCCCCACAGGGAACACCATGCTCTCATCCCATCATCATTCTTAGAGATGTGTCCTATAAGAACCTCTGCAAGCTCTTGACATTCATCTATTGTGGTCAAGTTAATATATCTCAAGGAGAGTTGGAAGAATTTCTTCAGATGGCTGTCTCCTTGCAAATTCAAGGGTTAGCCTCTGACTCTCTAACTGGAGCAGAGGAGAGTGTGGGTTTCTAATAATTTGTTTCTTTGAATGGGTTCAGCTATGGCATAGAAAAAAAATTGATTTCCTCAAAATGATTCTCCAGGAGTGCACCAGTGGAAAAGTGATTGCACAGGTACAGGAGGGAGACAAATATGAGGAGGAAGAAGATGACAATGATGATAAAGATGTTGATGAAAAAGAGGATAGAGAAAGGAGCAGGAATAAGGCAGATGGTGGGCCCTTTATGGTCAACATGGATATGGATTCTTGTATGTCTGACTCTATCAATTGTTTCTTCATCAACCATCTTTGCTGAGTTTTTTTAACATCAATCCATGAAATAATTGTTCCATCTATTGCAGGTATTCAAGATCAGCCTGGTGAGCTGGGAGCATCCGCTCTGAGTTACTGCCTTCAAGGTAAGGAATGAGAAACTAGGATGAGCCACATGAACTGCATACTTTGAATTGGTGGGGAGTGAATAGGGAACTGATACTGAGAAAAGGATGTGGGTGGAAGTCTATCTTTCTTTGTCTCGCCTACCTTTTCCTTGTAGACCTAACTCAATGAAGTGGCTTCATATTGTTGCCTGAAACTGAAGCAGCTAAAACCTTCTATGTGTATCTGAAGAAGAAATATCTTGTGTTTAGTTTTCAGAGCAGTTAGAGCCTATTGCTCAGACCTCATCTCTCTTTTCCTTCACCACTTCTTCATGCTCCTGCTATGCTTTTGCTTGAATGTGTGGATTGTGGGAGACTAAGGAGTTTTCCCAGTTTTTGTAGTGTCGTAGCAATACAAATGGAGAGAGCCAAAGCAGGTTCAACCTAAGCAGAGAAGTGTAATTGAAATCCTTTCAAAAGAGCATGAAAGTGCCACAGTCATCTAGACCTGGTTGCAAAATATTTGCAGCATTTAATGCATGATTACAAGAAGTATAAGAAGATGGATGAAACATTTGCAGATGGCAAAATGGACCTTAATGACAGGGCTCTTTTTGGATGCCAAGTGACTAGAGCAACAGAGAACCATCAACAGATTGATGCCATGATTCAAGAGGACCAACAAATCAAGATCGGGGACGTTGCAGGTCAGTTGCATCTATTTCATTTTCACAACAATGATGATGTGAAACATTGGATCAAGAAGTGGTATTGAAACATGGATCCTGACTTTTACTGTGAAGGCAATATTAGCACTTACAAAATAGTGGCAAAAGTGTGGTGAAAAAGGTGGTATTAGTGTTGGTAATTAAGTTAAAGTCTATCAGGTGTTTCTGTATCTCTGGACCAACTTGTGTGGCACTTGTGCCTCTTATTGTAGTCTTACAAAAAATTGTTGCCTGTGACTTCCATATGCCCCTCATACATGTTACTGAGTAAAGAAATTCTACTCATTTGTAGGAGTGAAGGTAATATCAGTGGTGCCATTTCGTAATGAAGTATTACTCTGCTACCTTTACAATTTAGTTGGTGTTGCTACATTAAGGAATCCTTAATATAATCCTTAAATGTCTGGATATGCTTCCTTGTGTTTTTTTTGCAATAAATGTAATTCACTCACATTTTCTTTTTTTTTTAACAGAGAAGCTGAAGCCATTAGAGCCTCGACCCTGCCCCATATGCAATAAAGTCATCTCCAACAAAGGGAATCTTGTGAAGCATATACAAAGAAGGCACACTGTGTCTTTAATTGATGTGATATGCATGGGCTGTGGCAGAAAGTTCACGAATCGATATGTTTTGAAGGACCACCTTCGCTCTTGTCATGGAGTGAACAAGTATTAAGTGAAATGAAAATTGTTTCATATGATGCTTCATTTTGTTTCATCTTATCATTTTCATTTACCTTTGCCTTCCCTTCACATTTTGTGATCTTCACTTGCTATATGCTGATTGGTTTTGTGGTACTATTTCCAAAGCAACTTCATGGAGTCCAGTCATGAGAGGCTAAAATTGATCTCTTTCTTACCTTGCACAATGACATGTGAACAAGAGCAATGACCATTTTATGTTTTATATTGGTTTTATTTGTTCATTTTTATGAATCATGTATTTCTAAAGCTAATTATTTTTTAAAGATTCTATTCAAATGTTTATCTCTGTGGTCTTCACTAATAGTTGCTTATCTTCCCCCCAGTATTGTTATTATTTGTACTTTTATTGATAGATTAAGAACAATCCTCAGAACTCATTACATCTGTTGCCAAAGACTTTTTTTCAGTCATGAATGTGATCCTTTGTGGCTGCTAGTTTGGTCTTCCTTGATAGCAGCTGTACTTACAGTGGAATGGTAACTTCATTTCCTGCAATTCTATTGTAACCAGATTCACCATTAAATTAAGCAGCATATTCAAACTGTATGTCTGGTCTTTTGCATTAGTCCTAGCAGAAACATGTTTGGAAACATAATTTACAACTGAGTAAAATTCTAGTTCTTCCTCATCAAAAGGGACAGAACTACTGTGGATAAAATAATCAAGGTTGTGTCAGGGGTTTTAGCCATAATTAACCCTTTGGGTGCCATTTGCTGATTTTTTGGTCACATCTACTGCTTCCAAAAATGCAGTAGGCCAATTTTTATGCCATCTAACAACAAGAACTCCAACTACATGAAGGAAGAAACCTAATGAAAAGCTGTGGCCAAAAAATTGGCCTTTAGCATTTTAAGCAGGAGTACACATGGCTGAAAAATTTTCCCATGGCACTAAAAGGGTTAAATATTCTAGGAGGGTGGTAGTTGAGATATAGACTTGAAATTAAACTTTTAGCATGAACATTAATGATCACATGTGGTAACAGCTGTTTGACTGTTTCTGTATGCAGAGTTTAGATGATAAGGGGGTATAATTTTTTACATAGTATAAATATACTATATAATTCACAGCTATCTTAAGCAGGAAATTTTTTCTGGTCTCAGCCATTCCAGTAATTCTATATTTACCTAATCCTGTTATATTAGTCAACACTGTGTCAGTGATGCTGAACATTTGAATCTCTTGTACCTGATTGACCAAGAAGTGCATGTGTAACTGTGATAAAATAAGCTTCATCTCATGTTTCTAATATTTTTTTCTTTGGTGAAGAATACTTCCTGATGTAGTCTTCCCTTTCTTAAGAGTCTTCTCAGTGTTATTTTTTGATGTGGCAAGTGGATGACTTGTCTTATAATTTTGACAGAAAAAAATACTTGATTCCTGGATGCTTTCTTTCTGTCGATGTGCATCTTCCACATGACTCAGGTTTCTAGACCGAAAATTTTCTTTGGTGTTTTCAATGTGCACAATTGCACACGTTTTCAGAAAGTATAATTGAGAATAGTCCAATTCATTTGGGGGCTAATAATACACAATTTGATTTAAACCACATCAATTTAATTTTGAGGATATTTGCCTTTACAGGGATAACTTCACATCAATATTTCATTTAAGAAAAAAAAAAACCAGTTATTGGTTATTTCCTACTCCCAACATTCAGAGGGGCTAAAAGTCATCTTTTGTGAAGCATCTGCTGTGAAATCAGCATGAAAAGGATCAGTGTGGTATAAAATGCACTTTTATGGAAGTGAAGTGTGTATCAGTCATTCCATCTTAAGTGTCTCATTGGCTGCTGGGGTTCATCTCACAGACCTGGGTGAATTTTCCCTCTGCTCTCTCTGGAAAGGCTGCACATAAAAAAAAATTGCCCACAAAAGGGATAAATAAACCAGGTTGTTTCATGCTGGTTTTCTGAGAAATTTCTGAGGTATGGGATCATGAACTACTTACCTCTACAGTGTCAGACCATGTCTTGGGGCATTGTGACAAAACATTGCAAGTGTTTACAATAAAATAATCAAGTGCATTTTTTTGTGCAAAGTATTTCAGAAATTGAAGTTCTTTTGCTCTTTGTAGACTTTTGGAAGATTCTGTTATTATCATCCTACTTGTAACAAGGAAGTAATCATATAAAGGATGTTAACCCTTTCACAGTCAAGTTTTTCCAAAACCTCCCTGGAGGACAACTGATATTTCAGTGTGTAACTATGAAAGGGTTAATGACCTTCCCAATGTGACTCATCAGCATTGATGCAGAAGAAATGTGGAATGAACAAATGCAGAAGTTACTAAATGATTTTGGGTCTGCAAGAACATTATATTCCAATTAACAGCAATAAACTCAGTGGGACTGGCTATGATATGGACACCTCAGTCACCAATCCCAGATAAGATAGGTTCCTGCAGCTAGCAGCTCTCTGGGACAGGACCAGCCCAGCAATGTCATTGCAACAGCAACTACAGGGATCAACATCAGCAGTCAAACAGTCATAACCATCTCCAAGCTGCAAGTCCACGAGCATGCCATGCAACCATGAGGATGCTCCTTACACAAGTTCACTATAGACATCACCATAAGTAGTGCAGGGCCCACATTCAATATGGAATTAATAACAATGGCATTCAGTGCCATTTGCTGATGAGTCCCATTTCTAAGATTTAATGACAGCAAGTGACAGATGTACAGACACTGAGGTGAGAGGTTTGCAAATGCTGCTGTTCAGGAACATAATCAATGCAGTGGAAACACCATGATGATGTGGGTAAGTGTCATTGTCACTGGGAGGTGTCCCCTCCAGTTTGTGCATGGAAATCTGACAGGGCAGTGCTACAAGGATGAAATCCTGCAACCCATTGTTCTGCCTTACTGCCTTGTTCTGCAAAACATAGGTTCTGGAGTCACCCTCCAAGATGATGATGCCAGGCCTCATTGGGCTCAACCAAATCAACAGAAGGGACTGGCCAGCCAATTCACTGCACTTCTCTCCCATTGTGTATGTTTGGGACCTACTGGACAGTCCAGTCAACCACCATGCACAGCCTCCTCAGACTTCTAACAATTTGAAGCTGCTTTGTGCAGTTGTAATGGGTCCAAATCCCCAAGGGATAGAACCAGAGGATTGTCAGCAGTATGGGAGATGCTGTCAAGCAGGTTTAAAATTGTTTATCATAATTATGTAATTGTCAAGTTAAAGGGTTAAATATGAAAATGTCAATAATTAGTACATCATAGTGGGGCATACAAAACAAAGTGGGCTGCTCTTTGAATGCCACTGACCAAGACAGTTTGGAACTCACTCACCTACCTGAAAGGATGCTCTCAACACAGAAATTACATTATCCAAGAAACCTAGTCCAAGAGATCCAAAGGGACCAATTGATTCAATTCACTCAGACTAATCTTCCTAGAGGGACTCCAAGCTCAAGTTAACCAAAATTAATCACAATCTCATTCATTTTAAAAACTGAGTAGGCCCAGATATTGATTCTGATTAATGTGCATTGTCAAAAATGACAAACCATTCACAATGAACCACATATGCTCTTCTTGCCTAGTGTGCAAAGAGAAAGAGAGGCTTTGCTCTGATATTGAAGGAATATATTTGTGTGTATCCATGATCAGGGCTGGCCCTAGCTATTTCTGTGCTTTGTGCAAAGAGACTCTCAATGCCGCCCCCACCCCCCAGAAGGGAGACAAGTTAACACCTAGTGTCCAGAAAGATGCTGAAACAGAAGGCATTTCCACTTTCTGAAGTAAAACTGAGGGGAGCATCCAATATTACTTTATCCATTCTGGCACATTTTGGTACCCCTGGTGAATTTGTGCCCGGTGTGGGGGCACATGCCTAAGGCCGGCCCTGTCCATGATAGAATTTGCATCTTTCTGTCCTGAAGCAAGAGATGACAAGAATCTCCACATTGCATCCTTGTATGGATATCATGACTGGACTTGTCTAAAGCAAATTAGACTGCCACACTCACCAATTTGCACAGATGACACATATTTGTGGTATGAAAATTACCACCTTTTATTACAAAGATTAGGGGAGGATTTTTCAGCATCCTCTGAAAATCCAATACACGTAAGGGCATAGGTGAAAGACAGAAGAGAAGAGTTCCACTAAAATGACTAGTCCTTGACTTCAAAGTATGAACAGAGTACATGACCCATACCAAGTAATGGCGACATATGACAAGAGAATTACACATGGACACACCAACAATCCACATATGCTACATGGTTTCTGAAAAACACAGCTGCAGCACCGCTCATTTCACAAACAGCACTTTTGAATGACTGAAAGGAGGATCAAAAATAAAAACTAAACCAGGATACTACCAGCTGTTCATGGCTGAGTTACCAGTGAAGGATTTCATATGGTTTTATCACCCTGCTCTAACTGAGAAAAACATAACCTAATAGCAAACAAACTGCATGGAATAATAAAACATACACATCACATGGAGGACTGCAGCCCCAGTGATGCTACCTAATCCAGAAATAGCTGTGAAGATATTTCATCAGAATATCTTCATCAAACTTAGTCCGAACAGTACCGAAGATTATAGAAAGATATGTTCATTAGCAATACACTTTTCAGTAGGCCCTGAATTGAAAATCTAATGATAGTTGGCCTTCCCCACAAGATGTTGGAAGAGGAAGAGTGATGTTGGAATCAGGGCTTAGGGATGGCTCATAGGCAATCATGCTATCACAATGGATAAAGGAATCTTAAAGAGGGAGTCCACCTTTCCATAATTTGAGCTCTATTTGTGACTCATGATGAATATGAGTCATAGATGAAAACCACACACTTATCAAAGCATCTGACAAGGAAATTCTGGGAGAGGAAAATGAAACAGATGATGTCATGTGGTTGGGAAGAAGAAATGCATAGTATGTTAGGGTGTTGATGGGAGGAGGGAAAGAGAAGAGGAAGCAGGTAAGTTGCATTGATGACACAGTATGCAGCTCCTTTCCTTCAATCAGTCAAATGAGATTTTAAATATCTTATCAATGTGCAGTTTTAGACAATGGTCTTCATTTAACATGACTCAAAGATGGAACTAAAGTTGAAAAAAAAGTGAACTTCTAGCAAAACACCAAGATTTTTATCCTGTCACATTAAGGGTAACCACAGTTTAAAATACTTCATTGTTCGGGAATGGAATGACTAAGGTTGAGCTGCAACCAGAATGAAGTGCTTCAGCATGTCCTACCAGGTGGGTATCCTTTGACATCATGGTCAGCTAAAATCATGCCCAAATGCACAACTTTCAAGACAGGATTGCATTCCACATAATGATGGGTGGATGGAGTAGCTGAAAGGTAATACCTGAGATAAAGAATGAAAGTAGTTCTTCCACTGAATTCAAATTCAGGGCACAGAATACAAAGACATGACAAATTATTGTTCTATGAAAGGAGAAAATCATGGTCTCTACCTTGCATTCACTAGGTACGGGCAGGGAAAGTGAATATTCACTCCGATTTTATGGATGAATCAGTAATCTTTTGTAAGTGGAGCAATGGGAACAAAGTTCAGACACTCTTATGGCCTTCAGAAGGGAGGAGGAACAGGGCCATCATGAGCAGTGAAAAGGTGCCTTTGGTCTTCAGCATATTTCTTCCTGAGTCAGTCAACGACCCAAGTTTCAGGCATGTGAATAACTCTTTTCTGGTTTTGACCCATCACTAGCCTATTTTATATTTTAACATTTGAGAACATATATGTAATAACCTTCTACAAATATAGTCAACCCTTGATATACCACCATTCATAAAGCCACCCTCAAAAATCATCAATTCTTTCTCAAGAAGTAATCCTGCCCATAAGCTTATGATGGGTAATTCCCCATTATAATGCGACCCTCGCCAGCTGCCATCTGCCAATGCCATCAATGTACAATTGTGCATTTCCCTGCATAAATTCTCCTCAACATTGCACCAAGTAGTGAATGGGTCACAACTCTTATCCAGTACTAAGTATGGCTAAATGTTTGCTGCCACCATCAGAGGTGACTCATAGCAGTGGAATAGCCATCCATAGGACAAGTGTAGAGTATCAGAGGGGGATTAAGGATGGGGATGTAAGCTTCACATCCACTTTTCAATTTCCCTTCAGACATTTTGGTATTGAAGTCATTGGCATATTAAAGTTCATTTGACATAGCCCAAAAATAAGGATGACAAAAAAGTATGTTATATCAAGGGTTGACTGTATATGGAACATACATGGTGCTTTCAAAATGTTCTGATCATTGACTTTTCCTGGAAAACTTATGATGCCATATTGTTTAGCATTTCAGTCCATACTTTGGAATAGTCTCCATACTTATCACTAATCAAATGGCATCTTTGGATCCATTTTTGAAAAGCAGCAGCAAGTTTATCTTTGGGAGTATGTTCACCAAACAAGGAAACCTTTGAATCCAAGCCAGCTTCACTAAAAAATATTTGCCAATATAAGTTTGTCAGAAGTCTTCAGGGGCATATAATTGACATACTGGTCACAAACATCTACTCATTCATGCACTGCTTTCTTCTCCTGTTACGATGCAAAGCAGATCACAGCCCTTTTGTTTTCCTTTCCTAAATGAAGCAATTTTCACAGAGTCTGAAACAAAAAAATCAACAAAAATTATTTTGTATATCACCAAAATAACATGAAAAATATAAGGTACGTAGCAAACAAATCCAGCAACAATATGGCACAATTAGTAATTTTTACAACCATGGTAGATTAATGAAAAAATGGATGATTGGAGCTTTTTGAATGCACCTTGTATAAGAGATCTAAACACAAGTCATACAGAGCTCTTTTGCTTGGCCAGTACACAATTGTGGAATGTGACCACAAATGGCTTTAATTATTTCATGCTTATTTTGCCTATGAATTAATTCATAAGGCACTTTTACTTAAGTGGGGACTCCATCCTTGCAATAGTTACCAAGGCAATCAATTAGTTGCCTAATAGGTGATATTACAACAAATATTGAAATTAGAGGTGTTGTGAGAGATTATGAATATTTTTCATGCAGGAAAAAACTTTTAAAAAAATTAAGGAAAGAATTTGTAAGTCCAAGAATTAAACATGCATTGCTTCACATATCAGCCCATACAGGTATACCATGTATTGTCTACATCAGGCAAACTTTACATGAAGTTATACATTGTCATGAATAAAATAAAGATCCATACTGAGATCAATTATGTAAAATGTTTCATAAATTGACACCACATATGACTATATCTAACTTTACATTTAGACAGATATGACATGACATATGTGGGCAACATATGATACAACTGTATGGGTTAATGTAAGAACTTCTTATGGTTCATCTATTGCATTTAAATATAATGGCATATGACTCATGCCACCCATCAAATATGTTCTATATATTTTCATACAGGGATATACCACCTCATCTGGGAGCATAGAGCATGTCTGTTCCTATTTGAAATACCACATAATGAAAACACTTACTGACTAGATTTTCTTTTAGTTTTCTTGATGGTAGTATAATGATTATAAGCAGAAGGTAACCTAAATGTATGTGTCATACTTCTTGAGCCAAAGGATAGTCAGTCATGACATTGGAAGAAAAAATCCACACAAGGTTACATGTACAGAGAAAACCAATAAGCTGCCTGCCACAATGACTTGTCAAATTGTTATTGCAGAAAAGATAAAGTGAATAAAAAAGGATAGCAGAAAGACACAATAAAACTAAGCTAAAAGCAAGGGTGAGATATTCCTCATTTATAATAACTGTTAGGAAGGCCTGTGCTTGCATTGTGATGCCAAAGTGAATGACATTATACAGGGGGATAAAAAATTCACTGAAATGAAATTTATGACATGATCACTTTATTGTTGATAGTGAGTACAGACAAAAAGATGAACATATGGGATAGTACTAATGATCGATGATGTAATGTGTGGTAATTGTCTTCAAATTGCCACACATTACATCATTGATCATTAGCACTATCCAATATATACTTTTTTTTTGCCTTTACTTACTGTCTACAGTAAAGCACATCATTTCATGAATGCCACTGCACAGTGACTTTTCAATCACCCTATAGTTTGACAACATGAATGATAAGGCACAGTCACTCTCCTAAGAAAATCCCTCAATGCGATTCAGGACACCTGAAACAGGCCATTTATCCAAGGCATATTCCATAAGTAAAGTCACTTTCTGTATATGCAACTCAAGTTCATTGATTGGCAAACTTATATCTGCATGAAGGTGAGAATATTTATTTTACAACAGGATGAGATGAGGTCAATTTTTTCAGTTTGGCTTTAATTATGGTATCTACCATATCTGGATGCAGGCTGACAGGGCTCCTATTTGGGTGGATAAACTAGGCCATTCAGTAATGTAATGTGAAGAACATGTGGAAGGAATGTTCCCATTATAAACTGGATAAGATAATCATTATCATGAAATTACTAGACCTCTTCATGTATATCCAGCTTTTCCTTTCTAGTCATAAAATATTTTAGGCATGCAGTGTGGGGCAAAAGTTAGTTGCCCCTAAACATAATAAACTATAGCCATTACATATTTTATTACATAAAATTGGATGCCTTACTGTATTACATTATTACACGCTTGGCAAATATGTTGAAGCTGCCATGCATCCTATCCTATTCAGCACATTTTTTAAACAAAACTATAGCCACAATTATAACCTACATAATATAAATTGGAGCAACTAACTTCTGTCACATTGCATTTTCACATCTAATGTGATAGTGCCACCTAAAACTACAAGGTGAAATAAGCATGAATGGATCTCTTCTACTTTTCTTTGTGCTGTTAACAATTAAAGACAGAAAGGAGACTACATTCTTTAGTAGAAGACTCTTTGCTCTTTCATAGGGACTGAACAAAAAATAAATTGCTCCTTACTAGAAGACAAATAAATATTTTTGAGAAAACGTCTTGGATAATGTGCATCATTGAGGATGAACTTAAGGAAAATTGCATGCATGGAGGGAATAAGATCCTGAGAAAGAATTTTGTCAAGTCAATAAGCACTCCCCCTCAGATAGCTTGCCAGCATTAGTTGTGATTTTTCATAAAACTGGTCATCCCCCAATTCTTTTTTTTTTCTGAAGACTTTTACTTCAATTGTTCACTGTGTTTTCCTGACTTTTCTCAGGCTCAGTCTTTTTTCATGATCCAAAACTACTTGAGAATGAGAAATTCACCATCATCAATGTATTAATGAAGTACTTCAAATTAAAATTATGGGACTACACATCCCAAGTTCTCAATATGGGTATCACAAGCCTGCTGACAAATTTTTAGCTCTGTTATATGCAATAAACACAGCCTGGAGAATAGAATTGTCAGCATGTCACACAGGTCTTATGTAAGTCTCTTCCTGCCAAGACCACTCACTAAAACATGCATTGATATCAGTGGAATGGATAGACCTGTCAATGGTTGATTTCAGCTAAGACTCCAAATAACTCCTTTTCTTGCCCTAATCTTCCAAAAAGGATATTGTAGATCATGTCTGAAGAGGCAAAAAATTCACCTGGTGGAGTCAGCAGCCAATCCATGCCCCTTTGAGGTAGGGCATGGAGATGAGGAAGTAACAGGTGACAAGTACTCACAGCAGAAAAGGAAATACTTGGTAAAGCATTACATATGGGCCAGAAGTTACAGTTATAGCCAGCATGAGTTTGAAGATATGAATATGGTAGCTAACATTGACCCAATATCTATGTTATAGGTTCCATGCCTTTTTGAACATCCTGTAGTTCTGTCAAGAAAATGCAGACACCTAGGCAAGAATACAATCTCATATCAGATTAACCATCTGCAAAGACATGAATCATATCATGCCATTTCATCACTAATGCCCAAAGCATAACTCAGGATTTAATTCTTTGACTTTTTTTTTTCAGAACCAAAAAAGTATTTATAGGCAAATAGTGGAAATTTAAAATATGTATCATTAACTCAAATGCCTAAAGTTAAATTGTTTTCAGCAGAGCATAAAAAGGGATCACATGGTTCACAACCATCACCATCAATAATGAACACATTTCAATATCAGGGAATCAACATCTGACACTGAACTAAAATGTTATGACCTGTTAGTTATATCATTGAGATTGAACCCACATAGGTAGTAGGAGTACTCAAACTGGCAGTTGTAAACGGCAGGGCTCACAGGACTCAGGGAGATGGAATCGTGACAATATAAAATTAATAACTCATTCATAAGTGCTGAAGAAATAATCATGGCATAGCAATAATAGAAATTTGAGGTCCATGAGGTCTAAATAATGGATTTTTAGGCTGTACATCAGTCACATGCACTGAATTGGTTTGAATCTGTGGCATGATGAGATTCTCTAGAAAATTAGCTCAAATTAATCAGATTGACATGATCATAAAGGAGCCCATTATGACAAATCATTTTATGAAAAACAAATCTGGTGCATGCTTTCTAAATCTTAGAGGAAATGATGTTTCTACACAGCTACTAATCTGAGACTATTGATCTCAGTTCATCATTGGCAAAAAAGACCAGAGAATTCATGAAACAGAAGTCAGGCTATCAGCCCTCTCCCTATACAAAGAAAACATGCTATTAGTCCACCAGCATAAGTTTTCTTGACATATTCCCATGACAATCATGAAGCAAAGGCTCGATGACAATTGTAAAGCCATTTGATGACACGAGCATTTCTCTCCACTATGGAATTTTCTCTGGGCTTCATACTCATAAGGACATCACATCGAAGGCCAGGTTTGGAGAAAGGAGGAGACTCTCCGCTGGGCCCACTACATCGTGGATTATTGCTATTCAAGCTGTCAATGGAACTGACACTCCCAAAAAATACTGGCTGACTTCCTGATTCAGAAATGCTCAATCGAGATTTTCTATCAGCTCCCCATTGATCATCACACAATATTCCCATGCTATCAAAAAACTTTTCTAGTTTATCACTGTCTCGTGATGGAGCACTTTTATCACTGAGACTTAATTCTGAGCCCATCCTGAAGTACCTATGACTTATGTCTGAGCGAGAGCGGAAGATTGGCTTGTGCCATTCATAATACCGATATCCAAGTGTCTTCAGAATCTCTTCATCTTCAGCCATAGGTGAGACAGATGCAATGGCTTCTGAGGATATCACAGGTACTTTGCTACTTCCCTGCCTGTCATTTTCACAGACTGTGTGGCCATGACTCAGATCTGATGAAGATTTCCAGATGGGATGGGCATTATCTTCTGTAAGACCATTTCCAATCACATGACTGGAACTCTCTCCATAATCAGGATTCAAGGGATCAGCAATGAGTAAGCGTTTCAGTTGAAACTCCACATTCTGTTCCTCAGGTTTAGCCCCTTTTAAGGAAGTACACTTCAATTTTGTGATCACAGTTTTCCGAGGACTTCTAGGTGGCAATGGAGGGGGAGGTGGTGATGGAGGAGTACTACAAGGCACTGGGTATGATTCATTATTATTGAACCCTGGAACATCCAAAATCAGTGCTTTTACACTTGCTTCATGATGATTCTCTTTAAGGGCCTTCTTACGAAGGAGACCCAATGCTGGAACACTAGTCACCCTGAGATGCTCACTATTACGAAGCTCCTGTTTTGAATCAAGAACAGCTTCAGACTTCACATAATAGTGTTTTGAAGCCTCCAGTAGCTCCACTGCACTCTTCCGTTTCACTAAAGAGAGAAAAGCACATCATTTAGACTTAAGGGTCAGCAACAAAAAAGAGATCATAATCATAGTTTGCCCCTTTTCAATTTTGTAAATTCTTATTAAAATTAACAGCCTCTGAAATAATTTTTTTTTTTTAAACATATTGCCAAGTCAGAAGTCTCTCAAAAATTTCACTGAATTCATAATCAAACAGTCTCAAGTGATTTTATTGATTGACTTGTCAGAAAAGTGACCTCTAAACTGATGTTAGTCTAATCAAAGTAAATTCATCATATATTGGGTTTTACTTGAGCTTCGGTTAAGAAAAGTAAAGTACACTTCCAGAGGCTGCAGCAATGAAAACTTCAAAATACTTCTTATCATGCAAGAAATAAAAATATCACCTTGGTTTGTCAATGAATCCATATCAACAAATGATAATACAAATTTAGATGTTGGTTCTATTTGTGAACACAAGACAACAAAAATAATACTTGCATAAATATTCATAATCTTATTACCATTACCATTCTGTTGGAATCTGATTCACATAATTATCATAATTAATTTAGTCATATCATTCTCATCATTAAGTCTTACTCCTGTGATTTAGTATTACCACCATTAACAAAAACAGGCAGCTATTCATCAATGCCACCTTTGTTATCAAAGTAAAAAACTGAAAGATAAGAGAAGAAAAAAAAGGGGAGAAACTTATGATAGATTACTGCTTACTAGACTCCTGGA